TCTGCTCTTCTCTTTCATACATTTATTAAACAAAAATACCAACCACTCCAACACTATATCCCCCCCTGCTTTTAACATTTCTGTCATGATCCTGTCAGTTCCAGAAGTATCTCATACTAATTGGGAGGAGCTAAATCCAAAGGGGTCATACAGTGCCAAGGAAAGGGAGGGTAATTTCAGTTCCTTGGATTAAGTAGTCCTTCACCTACATTAGAGTACCCCTTGAGGTGTTCAAAGTGAATAGTCTGCTACCACCACTTCATAATCTACAGTAGATCATTCCTTTCCCTGACTGCCCTCAGGTTGAAGAAACATTCCTATATCTCCATTTTACTTACTTCAATCTATACCTTCAAGCTGTCATGTACAACCCATAGCCATCTGCATACCTTGTATGTCATGCCCCCCCTGGTCCTCTATTCTCTTTAACATCATAAGGTTTACCCAATAGCTCTCTTAGTCTTTTCATGGGTGAGCCATCTCAGCTCCATGACCACTATAGTGATGTACTTGCAGTAATTGTATAGAACAGCAAAAACAAATGTAACAAAATTGCAAAACACTTGGATTGGATATACAATTCTAATTCACACTTTGAGCATCTCAAATCATGGTACTAATTAAAATTTTTAAGGGTCATAAGTGATGCAAAAAATTAACATTTCAATACTTAAATGTCAGTTCAAACCAAGACTGTAAAGAAATGCAAATAACTTTGTATAATAAATATACCAAAGGTTTCTTTTGCATCAAAATTAGGAAATTAAAATGCCATTTAGTTCAAAGATAGTTCTTTATATATTTATATATATAATTTTATTTATACATTTATATATAATGACAACACATACACAAGTGACAAAAATATGTTGTAAGGTACAGAGTTGGACGGACCTGTTTCAGTAAATTAAGATATTGCACTCTCATGACCGAGTTGTGTTGCAGGACTCTTGTAAAATCACATTCTATTACTGCAATAAAACTAGGAATGAGATGTCAGTTTCCAAGCTTAAATTCAACATTCCTTCACATAAACTACTGTTGAAAATTAAATTAACCTTAGAAAAGCTATTAATACACAAGCTTTAATAATCAACTTGAATTAATTTTTCATTTCTAAGTTAGATTAACTGAGGTCAGGGAAATTAGGACAAAATTTATATGGTTCACACATACAAAATTAATTTTCTATTAGCTGAACCTATGATTCAACCATACATCAGTCCCACACACAGTATATGTTTCACATTTAAATCTCCTCATTGTGTGGTTGCTAAATTAGTTTTGGTGTAAATTTTTAATTTGCATACCTATTAGTTCATGTGAATATATGATGCACAAAAAATCTACAGTATTTTTAACATTTCAGCTTGTCCGACCATTTTTGCTTACTGGGCATAGCAGATTCATTAAAAATTACATGTACAGTAATGCAGACCTTTATAGATTTTTTTTTGTGCATGTATTTTGTTATAACATTTTGTGCTTACTATTTTCACTATCACAAATTAGTATAGTGGACCCCCGGTTAACGATATTTTTTCACTCCAGAAGTATGTTCAGGTGCCAGTACTGACCGAATTTATTCCCATAAGGAATATTGTGAAGTAGATTAGTCCATTTCAGACCCCCAAACATACACGTACAAACGCACTTACATAAATACACTTACATAATTGGTCGCATTCGGAGGTGATCGTTATGCGGGGGTCCACTGTATTCTGTAACATTTACATGGACGTTTCAACAAGGGTTTTCCCAGTAATTACAATAATTCCCAAAAATGGGAAAACTATATTCAGGGTATTTCCCATGGGAGGCATCAGGTGATAGCATACTTTTGTAACATCTGTAACTGGTAACTAGGGTTATACCCTCACAGCCTGGCATGAAGTCAGGCTACTTAGTTAATCAGGCTGTTGCTGTTAATGGCCTAACCTAAACAACCATCAAAGCCTGGCTAGTCTAGTACTTTTAGGACAGTGATGAAGTGCTTGTCAAGTACTTTGTAGTATAATATTATTAAATTCATAGGTCACAGTGTCTGGGAAATGGAAAGTAATTAGGTTTGTTTAGAGGAAAGGAAGGATAGTCCCAAACTCTTGAATCAAGAGCCCCTCAGCATCAAGGCACCTCCCTTGAAGGATGTGCTCTGTTTTCTTAATACAATCTATAATTAAAAAGTAGCATATAAAAATAAAACAGCACATGAACAAAAATTAGATGGTGTAGGCCTATAGGGTTACAAAAGATATGTAATTTGGAAGGCAGAGAAGTTAAGGTGATTCACACATTTAGAGAATGGAGAAGAATAGGATGACCAACATGTATAAATCTGAGGATGGGGAATTGGAGAGAGGTTGTGATAGTTTTAAGTGGCAGGGACTTTATATCCAGCAGGCTTGTTTGAGTGTTGAAGATCAGAGTGCAGACAAGTGATTTTAAGGTTTTAAATAGTTCACACTCCAAAAGCAAGTCAACAGTTATGAAAGAATTCAAGGAAACCAGTTAGCCAGGTTTGAGTTTTGAAGTGAGAAGAGTACCTGCAGTCTGGAGGAGAATGAGGGGTGCATTTTGGAGGGTCACTTGATTTTTGGATTTTGATGCCTGCGTATTTCTGGTAAGGCAGCTATTGAATGAATGGTGGTGAATGTTTTTCTTTTTTAGTCACCCTACTTTGGTGGGAGATGGCCAGTGTGGTAGAAAAAGAATGAACAGGTATAGTGGGAAAGTTTATAGTGTTGGGTATTAATGGTAATTGGCAGTGGCATCGTAATGGGGGTGGGGCAGCCCCTGGTGACACTATTTAGGGGGTGACACCATAGAGCCTCTAAAGAAGGTGACATTAATGCCCAATACAGTATTGCACCAACATAAGGAACGCATCCTTCATTTCTATATAGCCTATTAAAAGATTACAAATAGGCCTATATAGGGAAAATCACTGATTTTGATGATGTGATAGATGATTTTACAGGATTGAAGGCAAGGAAATGTAAGATCAGATTTACTGAGATGTTACTTGTAATCAAGGTCAAATCAGAACTAGTGTTTCTCTGATACTGCAATGTTTTTCTTTATTTTTTTTTTTTTTTGCATTGTTGAAGATGAATAAATGTAGGATCTGTTGCCTGTACTCAAAGTGGTATTTGAGCTTGTTTCCTCAATATTACTACAATTATTTATTTTATCATTAATAAAGTTGAGAAGTATTCTCCTGGTCAGTTTATGGCCCTTAAACATTCTCATTGCTAAACATTATTGGGCATGCAGTAGTGACATAACTGGAGTCTTTGTAGATGAATGGTTCAGAGAACCGACATGTTGATAAATTGGACACATGTGCAACTCTTGGTATCTTTATTGAGGAAACGTTTCGTCACACAGTGGCTTCATCAGTCCATACATAGGAGAAACTTGAAGAACAGGAGGAGAATGAGGTAATCAGTCCCTCAACCTTGAGTCGATGTGTTCAGTCCATCAATCTTGAGTAGAATACGGCATATGAGCGGAGAAGCAGCTTATAAACCGTATGGCAGGAGAGGTACAGCAGTCATAGGTGGTGTCACATTTGTTCAATGTGGAAGTAGGTCGTGTCCAAGAATTAGGCAAGCGAAGAATTCCTAAGTATTAAGATCCCAAGAAGTTGCAGTGTCATCTACAAACCTGTCAGACACTGCAACTTCTTGGGATCTTAATACTTAGGAATTCTTCGCTTGCCTAATTCTTGGACACGACCTACTTCCACATTGAACAAATGTGACACCACCTATGACTGCTGTACCTCTCCTGCCATACGGTTTATAAGCTGCTTCTCCGCTCATATGCCGTATTCTCCTCAAGATTGATGGACTGAACACATCGACTCAAGGTTGAGGGACTGATTACCTCATTCTCCTCCTGTTCTTCAAGTTTCTCCTATGTATGGACTGATGAAGCCACTGTGTGGCGAAACGTTTCCTCAATAAAGATACCCAAGAGTTGCACATGTGTCCAATTTATCAACATAACTGGAGTCTACTCCCGCCGCCCTTGGATTTCATAGGGGTGACACCAAAGATTCCGCCCCAGGTGACACCAACCCTAGCGATGCCACTGGTAATTGGGAACCTTCATTATTATATTCATGGCTAAGGCTATACCTGTGAGGGTCATTTAATCGAAGTGTAATTATTAAGCCAGAGTAACAAGCATTACATGAAGTAAAAGTAGGAATTGACAGGCCAAGAGGAACCTAAACCCTACTACCTGCTTGAAGTGCCTGATAACCAGGTTGCAATGGCCATGTGGGCCCACAGGTTGCTAACAGCAACAACCAGGCTGACCAGACAAACACTACTGAAGCCTTGCCTCAGGCTATGTTACAATGGTAGAAGATGGCCCTCCAAAAAAAGTCACAGGCATGTCACAGGTCTGACCATTATTAGTATTAACTAAAGGTGGAATAAAATGAAAATAAATTTAGTAAGTAAAAGAAAAATTAATAAAAGAAAGGAATAAGGCTTGTCAGTGATAAGTATGAAGAACTGCTGGAAGAAGTGAAAGTGATGCAGTAAAGATTGTATTTAAGAAAGCATTGTCAGGGTGCCACAAAGTTCTATGGTTGCAAGAGAGACTGAATTATTGAGGGCATTGACAGAGAAGTCAAAAACAGTCAGTGTGCTCAAGGATGAGTGAGACACTCTATCAACATATTGAGATCTGGAGTAGGGAAGTATAATGCTTGCACAGTGAGTGAGGCTGCTGCAGTTGGGAGTGGGTCATTATGTTAAGCAAACTTTTTTCTTTGGGTTGGCCTACTTTAGTAGCAACCAGACAATACAGTAAAAAGAATTATGTATGTATATTGAAATGTAGAGCAAGTTGTGCAAGAATGGTATATAATACCAACAAGATGAAATTAAGACACATGTGCAACATCTGGGTATCTTTATTGTAGACGTTTCGCCATCCAGTGGCCATCCAGCCACTGGATGGCGAAATGTCTACAATAAAGATACCCAGATGTTGCACATGTGTCTTAATTTCATCTTCATGTAGAGCAAGTGCTGAGTTATAGTTTACAAATCTCTAAACTTTTTCTTAAAATTTCCTTAAATTTTGTGTAGAATACTAAATCCTAAACTTCAGCCACAGTGACAATAAGATTCTTCTCATACACACGAAAATAGATCAAATTTGTATCCTTCCTTTTTGGAAGTTTGCCATGTAACTAACCAATGGAACAACATTAAAGATAAAAATAAAAGTTCTAGCTTCGGACATAAAATCTTCAGTGTGTTTTCAACTCTTAAGTATATGACATGTAGACGATTAAGACACCTCTTACTATGATGAATACAGTGCTCCCCAGCTTCCTAAATAAGCAGTTATAGCTGTGAAAGTTAACTTAAATTATATAAATTATTACTATTAGAAAAGCAATAAACCTGAAGGGCTATATACTAATGCTTAAAATATGTATGAAACTTGCAGAATGAAAGACCTTTCATATAAAGTTCGACTCTGAATGTAAACAGTCTAAATACTTATTTCAGGTACTACTGGATTAGAATATTTCTCATTTATTCAATATGGGAATAGCTGAACACACTAATCTCCAACACCCCCAATTGCTAATCATAGCCAGCGGCAGAAGCTACATGTGGCATTATTTTAATGAAATATATTTCTGACAGCATGACTGCTAGCAGAAATTGTTTTGGTGAATGGCAACATATACTCTATAATGACACTGAAGATGGTAACCCATGTACATCAATTTTAAATTAAATAAAAATAAGGCTAATAAAATTAATGGATGTGTGCAACATCAAGCTGTAATATAAAAATTTATAAGGTACAAAAGTAATTCTTGGTAAATAATGAATATTTGTACCTCATTCTATAGTATTTTTTATACAAATCTGCAAGCAATGCAATAAACAGTGTACTGAAGCTTATGCTATCAAAAGGGAAGGTGCAAGAGTGTAGGGAAATGCTTCTATAAGGAATAAAAAATTAATGCAATATAAGAAGACTGTGGAGAAGAAAAAAGTTACACCAGGGAGGTAAATGAGATAGTAAAACAAAGGTAACAAACAAAGAAAAGGTGGGTGGTGCGCCAAGCTAACTGGAAAAACAGAGAATGTTATTTATGGAGGCAAAAAGAGGAATGTACCAGAGCATGATGTCATCAACATGGTTATATGGATGTAAAGCATGGGTTTCAAATGTTGCAGTGAGGAGACAACTGGAGGTGAACATCAAAATGGTATAAAATACTGACAGGTTGTTAAGTAAGACACACATGCAACAGCTAGGTATCTTTATTTCGAAACGTTTCGCCTACACAGTAGGCTTCTTCAGTCGAGTACAGAAAAGTCAATAGAAGTAGAAGAGACGTGAAGACGATGTAATCAGTCCATCACCCTTGAAGTTTTGAGGTGGTCAGTCTTACCTCTACTAGTGGCCTTCATCTCACCTCCTGGCAGTATATAAGGCTCCATCCTGTCACTTCAACTCCATATTGTTTCAGACTATGGAACAATACTCTTCTCCAGACTGAGGGACTGATCACCTCAAAACTTCAAGGGTGATGGACTGATTACATCATCTTCACGTCTCTTCTGCTTCTATCAACTTTTCTGTACTCGACTAAAGAAGCCTACTGTGTAGGCGAAACGTTTCGAAATAAAGATACTAACTGTTGCACGTGTGTCTTACCTCACAACTGGAGGTAGAGGAGATGCTGCGTTTGAGGGTGATGTGCGAATGTATTGCAAAGAATTTGAAGTATAGAGATTAGGATGTCTGGGGTTATCAAAAGTATAGTTTAGAGGGCTGTGGAGGGGGTTGAGGTGGTTTGGGCATTTAGAGGAAATGGCAAAATAGGATGACTAAGAAGGTATATAAATCTGGAGTGGAGGCAAGAAAAAGTAGGGGTCATTTCAGGAAGGCATGAAGGGCAGGGGTAAAGGAGCACATTTGACTAGAGTAAGTAGAGACAAATAGTTTCTGTGACTTAGTGAGCAAAATAACATTCATAGATTCTGGAAAACTGGTTACCAGAATAGCCTGCACTCTAAAGATGGGAGAGGACATTGCAGTTTGGAAGAGTATCTGAACTGGGATATCAGTATGCTTCTGGCAAGACAGCAGTTGAATGAATGAGGCTAAATGTATCTCCATTTTTGGGTCACACTACCTCGGTGGGAGATGCTTGGTGTTAAAAAAAAAGTATTAAACAGGTTGAATTGTCAAATGATGTCAAGTTTCTAAGAAGTGTTGAGCACATTAGTACAATATATAGGAAAGAACAGGGATCATTTCTTTGACTGGGAATAAGATGAGCATTTCACCAGTGTAAAATATACATTTTTTTTTTTCAACAAACCGGCCGTATCCCACCAAGGCAGGGTGGCCCAAAAAGAAAAACGAAAGTTTCTCTTTTTAAATTTAGTAATTTATACGGGAGAAGGGGTTACTAGCCCCTTGCTCCCAGCATTTTAGTCGCCTCTTACAGCACGCATGGCTTACGGAAGAAGAATTCTGTTCCACTTCCCCATGGAGATAAGAGGAAATAAACAAGAACAAGAACTAGAAAGAAAATTGAAGAAAACCCAGAGGGATGTGTATATATATATGCTTGTACATGTATGTGTAGTGTGACCTAAGTGTAAGTAGAAGTAGCAAGACGTACCTTAAATCTTGCATGTTTATGAAACAGAAAAAAGGACACCAGCAATCCTACCATCATGTAAAACAATTGCAGGCCTTCGTTTTACACTCACTTGGCAGGACGGTAGTACCTCCCTGGGCGGTTGCTGTCTACCAACCTACTACCTTAAAATATACTTATAGATGTAAAAGATGAATACCAGTTTGCTTGGAAAGTGTATAGTTTAAACTATAAATTCCTCTATATCAGTACTAGAACTACAACAAACTACCACTCTTAATCCTTTCAGGGTTCAAAGGCAAAATTTCAAAGTGTGCACCAGTGTCCAAGAATTTTCAAAAAATAATTTTATTTTTTCTTAAGAAATGGTAGAGAATCTTTTTCTGAAGGTAATAAAACAAAAAGTACGAAATTTAATGGAAAATTGACGAAATTATGCTCTTGTGAATTTTGGTGTGTCAGCGATATTTACGCATCGGTGATTTTGCCAACTTTGACTCCCATTTTAGGCCAATTACTTTATTCCAGTCGATCAAATTCTTAGCTATTTCACTAGTATTACTTCTATTCTATCGATTAAGCACAAGAAATCGCCAACTCAATTGTTTCAACTACAAAATAAAGTGATTGGAAATTGGTAATTTGGCCAATTTAGTGCAAAGTTTAAAATATTCCAATTTCAAAATAGGGTCCAGAATAAACAATGCAGGCATTCCTGGCACTAAACTAACATTTCCTCTGTTCACTAGTTATGTTTTCAGGCTTTACAAATGAATTCCGTTTTCATTTTAATTCACAATGAATTTTTATTCAAACCAAAAAATAGAAGATTTATTGTCATGCAATATTGTAATTGTATAAATAATATCAGCACATTTGTGAATGTATATTAGACCCACCAGCTGGCGTGTATTAGACGTGTGAGGTCATTTGTTTACTCATGAACATCGACAAAAATTTAACATTTCCGCTACTTTGAGCTCAGTTTCAAGCCACTTTCAGTACTAAAACCAATCAAAATCATCTCTATTTCTGTAATATATCTTCCATTCTATCAAATGAGACCAAGAAATCACAAATATACCTATAAAAAAACATACAAAAAAACACTGCAAAGTTGTTGCTTTAATCGAAAATTACGGTCACAGATTTTTTCTCTCATTATGCACTGTGTGCTGCAGGATTTGTTTTATGTGGTGCACACATACCACATAGATGTATTCTCTCATATCTAGGCCCAAATTTACCGCTCACAGCTTATCAGAGTGAGCTGAGCTCATAACGTAGATCAATGGTTTGGACCCTCAACGCAAAACCGTAGATCTACGGCACGGACCCTCAAGGGGTAAATGAGAAGCTAAAGAGGCCGGAAGAGGAGTTTGGAAGTATGTGTAGAAGGAATTAGAAAGTGAAAATAGAAAACGTAGCAATAATTAAAATTATAGGAATAAAAGATTAGATATTTGGGAGTAGATGTACTATAAAATCTTTGTGAAAACATGAATAATTGCTCAATAGAAGAAGAAAAAAGTTACACGAGTGTTGAGTCCATAGAAAGAAGTGTTTGTCAATGCATGCAAGAGTTTTAAGTTTCATGATACATCTACTTAATCTTCAATTTGGTAGAGCATATATGCATATTCTAGGTAGAGGGTTGGTAGACAGTAATCGCCCAGGGAGGTACTACTGTCCTGCCAAGTGAGTGTAAAAGAGAAGCCTGTACTTGTTTTACATGATGGTAGGATTGCTGGAGTCTCTTCTGTCTCATAAACATGTAAGATTTCGAGTACATCTTGCTACTTCTACTTACACTTAGGTCACACTACACATACATGTACAAGCATATATACAGTGGTCCCTCGTAAATACAATTAATCCGTTCTTGACACCCAGAAGTATTAAAACAAAAAATTTTTTTACATGAAATATAGTAGTAGTACATAAACAATACAATGAGACATGATGAATGAAACCTTAACAGCATAACACTTACCTTTATTGGCAATTCTTCTTAGTGTATGGGAAGACTGGAGGAGAGAGATTGGATTAGTTACTGTTTGAAAGGGGAATCCCCTTCCATCAACACCTCAGGTACCAAGTCCTTTTCTGGGGTTACATACTTCTCTGTTTCTTAATGCCACTATGACCAGCTTGAAAGTCACTGGAGTTCTGTCTCGCAAAAAAAGTGTCCAGAGAGCTCTGTTTCTGGCATCTCTTTACAACTTCCCTAAAATGGGCCAAGACTCTGTTACTGTACAAGTTGCCAAAATGGCTTGCAACATCCTTCTCAGGGTGATGTTTCTCCATAAATCTTTCCATCCTACCCCACATTTCAAAAATCTCCTTAATTTCTGAAGAAGGCACCTTCCATCTATCTTCCTCTTCCTCTGCAGTAAGATTCTGAGCTGCAATCTGTAGCTGTTCCTGCTGAAGCTCTTGCAGCTCCTCAGTGGTTAGCTCTTCGTGGTCCTCCACCAACTCTTCCACATCCTCCAAACTCACATCCAACCCCATGGAACTCCCCAATGCCACAATAGATTTCACAACTGACATAGGCTCATCAGGGTCAGCCAAAAACCCTTCGGAATCCCTCTTGTGGACACAATTTGGCCACAATTTTCTACAAGCAACAACAGCTTCCTTGATTTCCTTTTTCTTTGCCACAATGGAAGATATGGTTGTATAGGGTTTGTTATACATCCTGGCCAGTTTGGCCACAAGTACGCCACTTTCATATTGTTCAATGATTTTTTTCTTAAATTCAATCGTATTTCTCACCTTCTTTACCAAAGGTGAGCTTTCTTTGGAGCCATCGTAGCTTATTTAGCACTTGCAAGCACTAAAATGAATGGAATATTATGAAATATATCGTATGAACAACTGAGGGGACCGTTGCTTACTGGTAAACAATGGCACACTGGCTGGGAAGGGAGGCCGAGGCGGCTCAGAGCCGTGAGTAAGCGTCTAGGACGAATGACGATTAGCGAGTCAACGGATCATTTGCGAGCCAATGTTTGGACGAAAATAACGCGACGATTTCCGAAAAGGACGACTATCGAGCATGATGATTATCGAGGGACCACTGTATATACACCCCTCTGGATTTTCTTCTATTTTCTTACTACTTCTTGTTTATTTCCTCTTATCTCCATGGGAAAGTAGAACAGAATTCTTCCTCTGTAAGCCATGCATGTTGTAAGAGGTGACTCAAATGCCAGGAGCAAGGGACTAGTAACCCCTTCTCCTGTATAAATTACTAAATTTAAAAAGAGAAACTTTCGTTTTTCTTTTTGGGCCACCCTGCCTTGGTGGGATATGGCTGGTTTGTTGAAAGATGATGATCTTTATTTAAAAATTACCTTTTATATAAGACTCAACAGTGACAACTTACTACAAAGTGTTAACAACTATACTATCAATAGTATTCTGGGTAAAAAGCTCAAACTATGCTGCCTCTACTTTTTTTGGCTTATCTTCTATGGACAATTATCTTGGCCTCATTTCTATGAGCCTAACAGTATTATTGCCTCTTTTCTATGAGCCAACCAGTAGTATCTACTCTGCATGTTTTCTCAACCTAAACAAGCTGGATTTTTACCTTTCCAATGAAAATTGTCAGTGAAACTAAGAGATCACTAGCAGTATTTGCACATTAATTGCACTTGGTATATATACTTTTAATTCTTCTATACACTTCACTGACAATCCAGACAATACATAGTTGTACCAAAATTATATGTAAACTACCTGCTATTACATAAAAATCTAAGATGTATACAGCTTTTTATAATGCAATTTTGATTAGGAGAACATAATAAGTAATAAAATAACTTTAATTGCATTATAAACACTAGAATTTTCTGACCATGTATAGGTTGACCCCCTGTGACTTTTTGCCCAAATCTCACTAATTTAATATATGGCACAGAAGTTCAAATAACCTGGGTATCATTACTCGTTACAAAACTTTTCTATAATTTACAATGCATAAATTAAAACTGCTTTGAAGATTAAATCCAGATAATAAATAATCTTCCTTGGTAAAAAGGTTGAATTTATGACTAACATATTCAAAACTAAAGAAACCCATTCTGTACTATAAAAACCTGTGGTAATTAATTGGCACAATCGCAACTATCTAATGTAAATTTATCAATGAAGCTCCACTATTTATTACAAGGGTATAATTAAAAATTTTGTACATCTTGGACCCATAAACCCAAGCTTTATATCCACTGCTGTTGGAATAGGCACCTGGAACACCTGACTAATTCATTATGTAATCTCAAAATGGAATATTAAAAGCCTATATTTGTGATTCCAAACGTATTAAACTGCAATTGAAGCTTTTTCATTCTTTACACACATTTTAATGATGTGGTATTTCAGTTTTAATAGGGTGACCTGGTCAGTCTGACAGCCTCAGTCACATGACAAAAAGCTCCAAGTGAGCCATCACATGACTAAGACCAACGTTGGTAGAACTCTACCATTTCAAAGGTCTTTACCTGCACATATAATAATGACTATTTACAACTTTACTGTAAAGTATGACAGGAATATATATTGATGAGCAACTACTGACAACTCTGACTAGCTAAATATCTTTGTACATAATGACTAGAATACGTAATATTATAATCCAGTGAAGTGCTAAACCCAAAAGGGGTCGTACAAAATTGTAATGACAGGAACAATAAATGAAATGAACATCAAGGCTAGTGTTACAATACCTTATGAAATAAAAGTAAACTATTTCATGTGATATAACAAAGCAATGAAGCACAAACTAATTTTTCTTCTGCTCGACCTTGTAAAATTTTGACAAATGCCTGTCACATTTTTGAGGTTGAACAAACAAATTTTTCAGTTTAAACCAAAAGATAAAGAATAAAAAAATTATATGTATTAGTGGGTAAAATGTATCTTAGGTGTTTTCAACTAACACCTGGGAACATTCTTGGATTACACATGTCAGCAGAGAGTCTGTGGCTATGGGAATAAGAACTTAAAAGATACTTTGCAAAAGCAATTTGCTCTTTGCTTCTTACTAAGCAAGGACTGAAAACACTTCTCTTAAGTAACCATTCTACAATAACAGCTAACTATGTGATTGGATAAATATAATTTTTGGTAATATTTTTATAATCAAAGAATTAAATCACAGTACTGTGTGTGAAACTATTATCAAAAAGAAAAAACTAAGAAATATTTTGGTAAGATTTGATAATAGTCCATGATAGCCTAAAACAAAGGCCAGTCTTTATTTCTAAATTTATATGCTATCTAAACTGACAATAGGTTACACAGCCTCATAACTCTGAAACTAATAGCTGAGTCTTCAAGAAGAAACTTTGATCATGCAAACCATACTGGTACAACTAATTGCTAGCATGTGAGGCCTACTAAAGGTAAATCTGCCTTTGTAATGTTTTCACAAAAAGTTCTCCACAGTTGTTCACTAAGTCATGCACAGTAAACTCTCCACAAAGGTTTTACATACTTAACAGCAATGACACATGCACTTTCCCAAGATTTACTTGCCAACACTAGTGTTGTCACAAGACTGGTCACAGCACCTTCACAATGAAAGTGCAGCAATGATCTAGCAATTATTAAAAAATATGGTACCATCTGATATATATCAGTTGATATGTCAGAAGATAGTTTGTGTAGGCATTTGCACAAATTATCACAGAGCAGATAGTAATAATGACCCACTTAATGTGGGTTTACTATTACAACATATAATCAGGGATGGAGCATTACATTTCTAGAGTCCTAAACATTACTAAAAAGTTAGTTTGAACCTAACATTATTTTTGAAGATGTTTATAATGAACAAAACTAGACACGTATTATTAGTGGAGTGAACTTGTTTATTTTGGTAGACTTATTAATAAGAGAAATAAAGTTTTGTAGTAACAACATACAAGTATGAGATGTACCTTCTAGAGCTTCACATTACTCACCATTATCATGCTTTAAATCTCAAGTAACTTGATGTTTGAATAAAACATATAAACAGACTCTACAAAATGACTACTGGCAATTCTTAAAGTAATACGGTTTAACAAATGATGATGACTAATTAATCTATAAACTACTGTATACTAAAAATGTATGGCAACATCCTCTGAAGATTAAAAAACAAAAATCTTAACATCATTTGCCAGAGGAATGAAGAATCATAAATACCTAAAACACAATCATGTGTTTTGATATTCTGCCCTATATAACAATTAAATATTTTATATAAAAATTTACTAATGAAATGTTACATATAAATGGCTTACCCTTTATAATTTACACCAAATTTATATACTGTACAAACTAATTTGATCTAAAATAAATATAAATGCATACCTTACCATACTTCAACTCTATATAATATTAACATAATAAGTAAATCTCTCCAGTTCAGTATTGTAATCATCATCTTGTTCATAGGTGCAGAATTCTGGGCTGATTTGCCTTAATACCAACTCTCCCACATCACTGGCAAAGACCTGTCATGAAAAACTAACATTAGCAACAATTATTTGGAAAAAGCTGTAAGAAAACAATGACAACTTTGTACAGTAAAGAATATGAAGAATTTGTTTATAACACTGGCCAACAAAAGTTTCTCTTCGCATTAAAAAACATGCATTTGTAAGCAATTCTGAGAAGCTGAATTCAAATATAAACTTAGTTTTGCATCAACATGTGCAGTTTCTGTAAAACAGGACCCCATGAGGAATAATGTCACCAAGAAATAGCCATCATGGACACCTGATGATCAGTTTAATGGCTAACTACTGAGGGACACTGGTGTGGAAAAGTGATACTGAATACAAGTGAAAATGCTTGAACACTGATGTAAATGTTTGTATAACTTATGAAAAATTTTGAGATTTATGTCAAGCATTTTTTAACACTCCTTCCATCACTCAACAAGGTAGGGTGACCCAATAAAGAAAACATTTTCACTCATTTAATCTCTGTTTTGCCTGACAAGCACTGATCTCATAATGAAATGACCCTCCAAATGGCAACAACCCCACCTTTCATGCAGAGTCAAGGCATTATACTTCCCATCTCCAGGAGTAAAGCCCACCTAACCAGTTTCTCTAAATCCCTTCTTATGTGCTATCTTGTTCACACTCCAACAGCAAGTCAAATCATGCTTCTACTCCTACCTAACATGCTCAAACAAGCCTGTTAGATGTCCAAGTCCCTAGTACTCAATGTCCTTTATCCCTTCCCTCCAAATTTTCCTATGATGACCCAAACCCCTTCTTTCCCTCACCCTTGATTTATATGCCCTCCTATTTTTCCCTGCCCTCTAAATGTCCAAACCACCTCAACAACTCCTAATCTCCAAACTATGAATCCTCTGCATACTATTCACACTACACATTGCCCTTAAACACAACATCTCTACTGCCTCCAACCTCCTCCTCCTCCTCGCTGCAACATTCACAACCAATGATTCACACTCATTTAAGAGTTTTGGTACCACTATACGCTGGTTCATAACCCATTTTTGTCTCCATGGATAAAGTTCTTAGTCTGCACAGAGGCCTCAATGTACCAACCACCTAATTCCCTTCATAAATTCAATGGTTCACCTCATCCCTCACAGAACCATCTGTCAACAAGTCCACTCCTAAATATCTCGACAAATTTACTTCCTCCATACTCCCTCCCTCCGAGCTATTATCCAATCTTTCACTGCCTATATTCTTTTCATACTGAAAATAATCTTCTCTCCTACACACTCTAACATGTACCTCACTTTCCATATAAGAGCTTTTAACTGCTTTAACTCTTTCAGGGTCGGCAGGTCCTCTCCTAAACTTGTTCTCAGGGTCGGAAATTTAAAAAAAAATAATTATTTTTCCTCATGAAATGATGGATAATCTTTTCCCGATCATAATGACACCAAAAGTATGAAATTTGATGAAAAACTTAGAACTATGCTCTCGCAAAGTCAGTGGTCTTGACAATGTTTACGCATCGGCGATTTCGCCCACTTTGAGCCCCATTATCGTCAATTCCAATGTACCAGTCGACAAAAATCATACCTATTTCGCTAGAACTCCATTTTGTCTATCGAATGAGCACAAGAAACCACCCATTTACCGATTTCAACTAACCAATAATGTGGTCAGAAATTGGCAATTTTGCCAATTTCACACAAATTTCAAAAGATGCCAATTTTCCAAACAGGGTCCAGAATAAATAAGACAGACATTCCTGGCACTAAAATAACATTTCCTCTGTTGATTACTCACGTCCCCAGGTCTCTGCTACATTTCTTTTGCTTTCCACTTTGAATTTTTATTCTCACAAAGAATAGAAGATTTATGTTATGCAGACTACTGCATTCGTGTAGAAATGGTGTAGAAATGGTATAAATAATATCAGCGCACTTGTGAAAGAATATTAGACTCACCAGTTGTCGTGTATTGGACGCGTGGCATGATTTGTTTACCTTTGAACTTCGGCAAAAATCGAACATTTCTGCTACTTTGAGCTCAATTTCAAGGTACTTTTCATTGTGAAACAATCAAAATCATCTCAATTTCCACAATATGTCTTCCCTTCTATAAAATGAGACCAGGAAAACTAGAATACAACCATAAATAGCATGCGAAAATACACTGCACTACTACTACTACTACTACCTCCACCTCTTCCTGCCTATATATAGCCATCCTGCTCCACCTCTGTTAGTGTGACATCTGTCAATGGTCCAGGTCGGACCGAAACGTCGTCGTAGCTTCTCTCTTTTATGTGCGGGTTATTTGTGTATCACTGTTTTAAACCAAAAACATGGCCGGAGTTTTTTTTCTCATTATGCACTGTTTGCTGCAGGATTTTTTTATACTGCACACACTGACCACATAGACCCATTCTTTCATATGTAGGCCTACCAGCTTTCTCTCGCTAGATTTGAAGGTGCTAGAATTTATGCGTACTAGTACGGCACCAACCTGGCGTGCAAGTCGTACTAGTACGGCACCAACCCTGAAAGGGTTAAGTAACCTACCACCTATTCCATACATTTGCAACATTACTCCACTATCCACCCTATCAAATGCCATTCTAAGTTCATAAATGCAATGAAAAGTTCCTTACCTTTATCTAAGTATGGAGGGAATATTTTGAGGAATTGTTAAATGTTGATGAAGATAGGGAAGCTGTGATTTGTGTATAGGGCAAGGAGGAACAACATCTTGTAGGAGTGAGGAAGAGCCAGTTGTGAGTGTGGGAGAAGTTCGTGAGGCAGTAGGTAAAATGAAAGGGGGTAAGGCAGCCGGGATTGATGGGATAAAGACAGAAATGTTAAAAGCAGGTGGGGATATAGTTTTGGAGTGGTTGGTGCAATTATTTAATAAATGTATGGAAGAGGGTAAGGTACCTAGGGATTGGCAGAGAGCATGCATAGTTCCTTTGTATAAAGGCAAAGGGGATAAAAGAGAGTGCAAAAATTATAGGGGGATAAGTCTGTTGAGTATACCTGGCAAAGTGTATGGTAGAGTTATTATTGAAAGAATTAAGAGTAAGATGGAGAATAGGACAGCAGATGAACAAGGAGGCTTTAGGAAAGGTAGGGGGTGTGTGGACCAGGTGTTTACAGTGAAACATATAAGTGAACAGTATTTAGATAAGGCTAAAGAGGCCTTTGTGGCATTTATGGATTTGGAAAAGGCGTATAACAGGGTGGATAGGGGGGCAATGTGGCAGATGTTGCAGGTGTATGGTGTAGGAGGTAGGTTACTGAAAGCAGTGAAGAGTTTTTACGAGGATAGTGAGGCTCAAGTTAGAGTATGTAGGAAAGAGAGAAATTATTTCCCAGTAAAAGTAGGCCTTAGACAAGGATGTGTGATGTCACCGTGGTTGTTTAATATATTTATAGATGGGGTTGTAAGAGAAGTAAATGCGAGGGTCTTGCAAGAGGCGTGGAGTTAAAAGATAAAGAATCACACATAAAGTGGGAGTTGTCACAGTTGCTCTTTGCTGATGACACTGTGCTCTTGGGAGATTCTGAAGAGAAGTTGCAGAGATTGGTGGATGAATTTGGTAGGGTGTGCAAAAGAAGAAAATTGAAAGTGAATACAGGAAAGAGTAAGGTTATGAGGATAACAAAAAGATTAGGTGATGAAAGATTGATATCAGATTGGAGGGAGAGAGTATGGAGGAGGTGAATGTATTCAGATATTTGGGAGTGGACGTGTCAGCGGATGGGTCTATGAAAGATGAGGTGAATCATAGAATTGATGAGGGGAAAAGGGTGAGTGGTGCACTTAGGAGTCTGTGGAGACAAAGAACTTTGTCCTTGGAGGCAAAGAGGGGAATGTATGAGAGTATAGTTTTACCAACGCTCTTATATGGGTGTGAAGCATGGGTGATGAATGTTGCAGTGAGGAGAAGGCTGGAGGCAGTGGAGATGTCATGTCTGAGAGCAATGTGTGGTGTGAATATAATGCAGAGAATTCGTAGTTTGGAAGTTAGGAGGAGGTGCGGGATTACCAAAACTGTTGTCCAGAGGGCTGAGGTGGTTCGGACATGTGGAGAGAATGGAGCGAAACAGAATAACTTCAAGAGTGTATCAGTCTGTAGTGGAAGGAAGGCGGGGTAGGGGTCGGCCTAGGAAAGGTTGGAGGGAGGGGGTAAAGGAGGTTTTGTGTGCGAGGGGCTTGGACTTCCAGCAGGCATGCGTGAGCGTGTTTGATAGGAGTGAATGGAGACAAATGGTTTTTAATACTTGACGTGCTGTTGGAGTGTGAGCAAAGTAACATTTATGAAGGGGTTCAGGGAAACCGGCAGGCCGGACTTGAGTCCTGGAGATGGGAAGTACAGTGCCTGCACTCTGAAGGAGGGGTGTTAATGTTGCAGTTTAAAAACTGTAGTGTAAAGCACCCTTCTGGCAAGACAGTGATGGAGTGAATGATGGTGAAAGTTTTTCTTTTTCGGGCCACCCTGCCTTGGTGGGAATGGCCAGTGTGATAATAAAAAAAAAAAATAATTGTTCACTTATGTGTTTCAATGTAAACTGGTCTACACATCTTTACACTTCCTGAACCTATCTTGTTTCCCTGCAATCCTACCTTGTTTTACCCTTAATTCTTTCCATATATTCTACCACTGACTATTCAGTATACTTCAGTAAGCTCATTTCCCTATAATTTTTTCACACGGTTTTAGCCTCTTTTCCCCTTATACAAAAGAATATGCATACTCTCTGCCAAGCCCTAGGTACCTTTCCCCTTTCATGCATACCTCTGATATACCCAGCCATGGGCCAGACTCGTGTGGTGCTTGCCTGTCAACCAAGCTGTTGCTGCTGGAGGCCCGCTGTCCCACATATCCATCACAGCCTGGTTGATCTGTCATCTGGTGAAGATACTTGTCCAGTTTCCTCTTGAAGGTTTCTACACTTGCTCTAGCCATGTTTCTGATATCTTCTGGTAAAATGTTGAATAGTCTGGGACCCTGGATGTTGATACAGTGTTCCCTTATTGTCCCCACTGCACCCTTGCTCCTCACTGGGTTTATTTTATACTTCCTCCCATATCTCTCACTCCAGTATGTTGTTATGGCAGTGTGCAGATTTGGGACCAGGCCCTCGAGTACTTTCCAGGTATATATTATAAGAACATAAGAACGTAAGAAAGAAGGAACACTGCAACAGGCCTACTGACTCATGTGGAGCAGGTCCATGTCCCCCTCCCCAGATCAGCCCAATGACCCACCCAGTCTGGTCACCTCCACTCAAGGAAGGAGCATGGCACCAGACCCAGCAACACAAGCTAGTCTGGTCCAACTCACACCCACTCATGTATTTATCTAACCTATTTTTAAAACTACACAACGTTTTAGCCTCAATAACTGTACTAGGGAGTTTGTTCTGCTCATCCACAACTCTATAACCAAACCAGTGCTTTCCTATATCCTTCCTGAATCCGAATTTTTCCAACTTGAAACCATTGCTGCGAGTCCTGTCTTGGCTGGAAATTTTCAGCTCGCTATTTACATCCCCTTTATTTACTCCTGTTTTCCATTTATACACCTCAATCACATCCCCCCTAATTCTACGCCTTTCGAGAGAGTGCAGATTCAGGGCTCTCAGTCTATCCTCATAGGGAAGATTTCTGATACATGGGATCATCTTTGTCATCCTCCTCTGTATGTTTTCCAGTGCATTTATATCCATTCTGTAATACGGTGACCAGAACTGAGCAGTATAGTCTAAATGAGGCCTAACCAAGGATATATAGAGTTGAAGAACAACCTGAGGACTTCTATTATTTATACTTCTAGATATGAAGCCAAGAATTCTGTTATCTTTATTGCAAACACTAATGCACTGTTGCCTTGGTTTTAGATTACTACTAACCAGAACTCCTAAATTCTTTTCACAATCAGTAGTATTAAGATCTACATTATTTAGTTTATATGTGGCATGCTTATTTACCTGTCCAACATTTAGAACTTTGCATTTGTCAATATTAAACTGCATCTGCCACTTCTCCGACCATTGCATCAGTCTATTGAAATCATCCTGGAGTGCTCTAGTGTCCTCATTAGAATGAATTGGACGGCCTATTTTGGTGTCATCAGCAAATCTGCTTATGTCGCTATTTATTCCCTCATCTATGTCATTTATGTAAATTGTGAACAACAACGGGCCCAACACTGACCCCTGAGGAACACCGCTTGTGACGTGCCCCCATTCTGATTTCTCCCCATTTATGCAAACTCTCTGCTGCCTATTTGTCAGCCATGCCTCTACACGGGAAAAAATTTCTCTTCGTATTCCGTGTACCTTAAGTTTCCTCAATAGCCTCTGGTGAGGAACTCTATCGAAAGCCTTACTGAAGTGCATCTCTCTCTCCTCCACTCCAGTGAGTACAAGTTCAAAACTTGAAGGCATTCCCAGTAATTTCGATGCTTTCTGGCTCAATGTGAGCCATAAGCCATCTCTGTATTTGTTCCAGCTCTGATATTTTTCCTGCACTGAGCAATATTCTAAATGAGGGAGCACTAGCGATTTGAAGCGTGTCACCATCAGCATCATTTTCCTTGTTTTGAAAGTCCTCAATACCCACCCTGTCATCTTCCTGGCTGTCGAGATCTTTGTCTTGTTATGGTCCTTAAAAGAAAGGTCAGCTGACATAATTATTCCCACGTCTTTTATGTGTTCCTTTCATTTTATTTGTGACTGGTGTTTTTATCTATGCTATGAGGATGAGAAACAGCAAGGGTGCCAGGACAGTTCCTTGGGGGCCAGCTTTGGACCTCACTGATGCTGGAGTTTGCCCTGTTTACTACTACTATTTTGTGTTCTTTGTTTTAGGAACCTGAAAATCTATCTGCCCACCTTCCCCATAATGCCCATGACCCTCATTTTGTGAGTTATCACTCCATGATCACATTTGTCAAACGCCTTTGCAAAATCTGTGTAAATCACATCTGTATTTTATTGTACACATGCACCAACCACTTCAAAGCTATATACCCACCTGTTTAATATTTTTGTCTTAATCCCATCTACCCCAGCTGCTTTATCCCCACTCATTCTACCCAAAGACTCGCATCTGGTATTTCTTCACTCCTAAGAGGTGTTATATCCCTTTTCTCAATAAAAGTCACTACCTCATGTAATGGCTCCTGTTTTGCTTTTAACTGTTAAATCCATTGTTCCCCAGTGAAAATCACTTTGTTTGTATACAAGCCAAAGCAATGAAATACTGTAGTTTCAAAAGTTCCTGAAACTTAAAAACTGTTAGGTATTCAATACTTGGAAAATGTGAATAAACCCTTTTGGCACTACATCATGGAAATATAAAGACAAGTAGTTAAAATAATACTTACAGCATGAAGAGAATGGTGAGAATTTATGCTGGTTGTAGCTATATGGAATGCTTGTAAGCTACCTCCCACAAGTCCCCCAGACTCTACTGTTAACACAGGGAAGATGTCACCTGCACTCAGGTCCCACACATACAGCCTGTAACACAACACAAAGTTAACAACAAAGATATTATATTGTACATTACTGGTTTCTGCACTGTACAGTACAAGTGCCAATCTTCCAAAGTGAAAAAAAACAATAATAATGGAATAAGCTCAAAGCATAAACTCAGAACAGGCAAGATTCAAACCCATGGCAAAATGGCTTAAGACTAAAAGGCTTGTACTCTAATCATTGTACAATGCCTGCCTATATATACCATATACAATGAATCTGTTTCTAAATCAAATTACACTGCTAGCTGCTTCAGTTCTGCCAGTGGGAGTTACAGTGCTTGTACTCAAAGAATAGGTGGGGATGTTACAGTTCAGATGGCTTACTGAACTGAAATTAGTGTAGCGAGTGCAAGACCTTTGGGTCACCTATACTTGGTGTAGATCCTTACTAAGCCAAATACAGAGCAAAACCCAAAACAAGGCCAAAGGTAAGCATCCAGACATTTAGCAGAGCATGATTCATACAGGGGTTCAGATGTAAATACTGTATACATACAGTGTGATTGCTAGAGCAAATTCCTTGGAAAATAGGTAATTCCATAAGCCTTGCCAACTTGTTTGGGTACAAGACAGCTAGTACTTCATGAGTCAAATATCCAGTATTACAGCTATGTACATTAGACTGGGTTTATCTTCTAAATCTGTAAGTGTCACATATTTTCTAGTTATAAAACTGGCAAGAAAAGTTGCATTGTCAAATATTTACTTATTTTTTAATACATTGGCCATCTCCCACTGAGGTACAGTGACCCAAAAAAGAAGAAACAAGTTTTTCTTTTTACATTTAGTAATTTATAAGAAGGGGTTACTAGCTCCCTTTGCTCCTGGCATTTTAGTTACCTCTTATGACACACATGGGTTATGGAGGGAGGATTCTTCTCAACTTCCCCATGGAGACAAATCAAATACTACATAATATATAAATTCCAAGAAACTGAGTGGCTGATCAATTAACCTTGAAAGTGAATCCAAAACATAGAAGACACATGGACGAGCTGGTGACCACTGCAGATCAACAATTGGTGATGAATCTGGTGCAGATTGCCATGAGGTGAGTGGTCGGTCTGTGCTTGTGCTGTGAAGACGTACAACGCCATCACCACTGCCTACTAGTATGTATCGAATATCATGAGGACAGACTGCCAGACACAAAGCCTCACATCCAGGTTCTGAAACAGAATGCTAATTTGAATGAATGCAAATACTCTAATGTAAAAAGCTTAGTTAATGATATCACCTTTACCCATTTAGCCATTTATTTAACAATAGTAGGTTAATAGCATATATTTCTTACAAAGAAAATTCCATAGTTATGCACAGCATTTTGGGCAGTCTTAAGATAGGAGTAATACAAACAATATGAAAGGCTTTTGTAACCTGACATGCTGTTGAAGTATAAGTAAGATAACATCAATCAGGGAAATTGGCTAGCCAGACTTTATTTAGTTCTGGAGGTGGAAAGTAGTGCCTGCACTCTGAAGGAGGGGTGTGAATATTGTAGTCGGAGGGTAATCAGAAGTGTGATGTCAGTACACTGCTGGAAGGATAGCAACTGAATGAATGATGGGAATGAATTTTCTTCTTTGGGTCACCCTCCTTGATGGGAAAGGATGGGGAAAGAAAGCTTCTGAGGAATGAAAACATCCAAAGTCCAATAAATCTTCATCCATTGTAAAATAAAGGTTTTACTGCATAAACATAAAAATACAATGTCAATATACAGAAAGAACACTATACCTGCAACGAAAAAATCTCCATAAAAGTCATAGCAATCAACAAGATCCAAAAGCTTATGTTACATTAAATTAATTATATATCCATTTTATAATAATCTAAATTACCAATAACACCTTGATACTGACCAATTTCTGGTACATATGACTTGGGATTCAACCTGGAGTTGTGGCGCGAGCAGCGAGCAACGGCTCCACTCCCGGTGGCAACAATAAGTTGACTAGAATCATTTGGATCTATCTTCAAGCTGTGACAGTTGATGCCTGCAGTTAGTGCTGCTTCACTGAAAAATACAACAATTTTGAAGCCCCCAAGTCATCATTCCTGCTCTGGCAGTTGTTATTCTCAACACTAGTGCATATGAGTCTTCATAAGGACAGGCTCCCCTCAATACCATACACTTTATTACAGAGACTTATACTATTGTTCAATGCACACACACATCATATTTACTTTTTTAACACGCTGGCCGTATCCAGTCAAGGTAGGGTGACCTAAACAGAAGAAACAATTTTACCATGCTCACTCCATCATTGTCTTGTAAGAGGCATGCCAATACTACAGTTCAAAACTACACATATCCCCACCCGTCCTTCAGACATCAGGCATCATATTATGAAACAGAATTATTTTATGAAACATTTTTGGACTTACCCTTCAAAATTTTCCAACACATCAGTAATTTTCATAAATTTCACAATGCTAGTTCTGAAAACGATCACTTAAATCAAATATTCTTCTTTCTCCATTTTAATAAATAATGTCTTTACCTCCAGAAGAAAATAAAATTTTTTATTAATTTTCATTGTTTGTGCAGTCTTCTCCATATTACATATTAAATAATGCACATTTTAATTACATTTATGTGTATCCTTTACTTGGGAAATCAAGTGAAGACTCTTACACTTTCACACTGCTGCATTTTATAACTGCATGTAAATCTGATTTGTCGGTTAAGGACTACATCAGCCATCGAATATTCACAAAACACCTAATATTACACATGATCCATAACTTCATTATATTAAAAACAAGCAATAAACTTGTATGGATTACACTGTTTAGCACATGATGCACAATTATTATAAACACTAAATATAATTCATCTCATCCTAATTAATTAAGCTAAAGAGATGAAAATTAAACAATTTTTTAGTAAAAGTTATATGTAATGTTTATTTCTTTCCTGAGCAGTATTTCAAATTTACTACTGTATGTTTACAGGAACCTGGTACATGTATACCAACAATGTAAACAAGACACGAACATTTTATTAGGAAGCTCTTCACTCCAATATAAGGCATGAGATATTATAAGTGATGTATAGAAAAAAAAGAAATCAGATGAGGGAGGCATCAGGTCATTAGGACTAAGAGAGAAGTTATAACCGAGTTCTTTCTGAAGGCCTGTAGGATCTCCAGTCTTGCTTTTCTCAAGGAAGGGTGCTTGTATATCCAATGTGTGTTTATGTCTCCCATTCCCATCCCATTTTATTGTGAAGGTCACCCTATTTAATTTCTTGGGTGGTGGTAGTTGAGAGGCAACCAAAACTGCCAGTTGTACAAGATGTGACTAATGTTCTTATCAGATACACTGACCTTTCTGACAAAAGTGAACTGAAGGCCTATTAGTCACAATTATGAATTCTTAGACTATGTATTGTCATTGAACATCTCAATCATCTAAGTCTTCTTAGCCATCCATGTCTTCTCAGCTATCCATGTCTTCTCAGCCATCAATGTCTTCTCAGCCAACTACACTTCTACTAGTGGAGATTTACAGCTCTTTTTAACCCAGATTAAATGTTATTCTGAGTCACCACTATTGATCACACCAGTTTACACCTTATCTCACCTCTTTACTGTGGAAAGTAAAATTACTGTAAATTGCTATAAAATTACTGTATTCTTCTGTACATGTAGCAGCAACACTTTCAACCTCATTTTTATTTACAATACTATGCAGGTACTGTATTTATAATACAGCACTGTACCTGAATAGTACTGTACTGTTTTACAGGTTACAATACCTATATTCTCAGTGTTTGGTAGTCTTCTGAATCAATGGGTCTAGTCTGCTGATTCCAAACGTTGTCCACTTATGTTACGTTCTTGAAAAATAAATTTCATAATTTGGAATCTACAGACAATCAGCAATAACATTCACCCCCTTGCCCACTATTAGTCCATTAATTCAAGGGTTCACTGTGTGTGTACATATACCAAGTCTATCATGCCATATTGGACTGACCAAGCTCCCAAAAGCAAAACTTTTCCAAGTAAAATGTTTTTGTAATGCATTACTATTGTACATAGCCACAGCATTTAATATAGTATAGTATATGAATGCTATTGTTGCAAACAACAGCATTCATATATGTTTTCTTACCCATACAGAGTAGAGCCAACATTGATGGTAGCTGTGCGGTTGAGAGCAACTCTTGCCCAGGGTGCAGCCCCCAGGTGTGGGGACACTCCAGCCTTACTCTCTTCACTGCCATAGTTTCCATGTTTCTTGCCAAGGCCAAGATCAGCAACAGTAGTGGTAAGAGGCACACGCACTACCACCCACCACGTAACCTTCCCATCACCTGTCAGTGTCACCACCTGCCAAAAGTAAAAGAATTTATCATTATATTAACATAATAGGTATCTCTCTTATGATATTAATGTGTTCCTTAAAATTGTTTGCTGGCTGATTTTTCAAAACTTGGAACCTATTATTCCTGTAGAAACTCTGTGTTTTAATCAGAGATAACTTTCTGGGCACCACATTCTGTTGATGAATAGTATACATGTGCAACATTTGGGTGTCTTTATTGCCTAAATGTTTCACTTGCACAGCAGGCTTCTTCAGTCAAGCAGAGGCCTGCTGCAGAGGCACAACATTTTGGCATTAAAGATACCCAAGTACTGTATGTGTTTCATTCATCAACAGTATTTAATACAAATTGTATTGAACATTGTTAAACTATGTATATATTGTTTAACTAGTGTATACACTGTTTAAGTAATTTTTTTTTTATTTTTTTTTATTATCACACCGGCCGATTCCCACCAAGGCAGGGTGGCCCGAAAAAGAAAAACTTTCACCATCATTCACTCCATCACTGTCTTACCAGAAGGGTGCTTTACACTACAGTTTTTAAACTGCAACATTAACACCCCTCCTTCAGAGTGCAGGCACTGTACTTCCCATCTCCAGGACTCAAGTCCGGCCTGCCGTTTCCCTGAATCCCTTCATAAATGTTACTTGCTCACACTCCAACAACACGTCATGTATTAAAAACCATTCGTTCCATTCACTCCTATCAAACACGCTCACGCATGCCTGATGAAGTCCAAGCCCCTCGCACACAAAACCTCCTTTACCCCCTCCCTCCCAACCCTTCCTAGGCCGACCCTACCCCGCCTTCCTTCCATAAGGACTGATACACTCTTGAAGTCATTCTGTTTTGCTCCATTCTCTCTACATGTCCGAACCACCTCAAAACCTTCCCCAGCCCTCTGGACAACAGTTTTGGTAATCCCGCACCTCCTCCTAACTTCCAAACTACGAATTCTCTGCTTATATTCACACCACACATTGGGCCCTCAGACATGACATCTCCCCCTGGGCCCCCAGCCTTCTCCTCGCTGCAACATTCATACCCACGCTTCACACCCATATAAGAGCGTTGGTAAAACTATACTCTCATACATTCCCCTCTTTGCCTCCCAAAGGACAAAGTTTTTTTGTCTCCACAGACTCCTAAGTGCACCACTCACTCTTTTTCCCTCTTTAATTCTATGATTCACCTCATCTTTCATAGACCCATCCGCTGACACGTCCACTCCCAAATATCTGAATACGTTCACCTCCTCCATACTCTCTCCCTCCAATCTGATATTCAATCTTTCATCACCTAATCTTTTTGTTATCCTCATAACCTTACTCTTTCCTGTATTCACCTTTAATTTTCTTCTTTTGCACACCCTACCAAATTCATCCACCAATCTCTGCAACTTCTCTTCAGAATCTCCCAAGAGCACAGTGTCATCAGCAAAGAGCAGCTGTGACAACTCCCACTTTGTGTGTGATTCTTTATCTTTTAACTCCACGCCTCTTGCCAAGACCCTCGCATTTACTTCTCTTACAACCCCATCTATAAATATATTAAACAACCACGGTGACATCACACATCCTTGTCTAAGGCCTACTTTTACTGGGAAATAATTTCCCTCTTTCCTACATACTCTAACTTGAGCCTCACTATCCTCGTAAAAACTCTTCACTGCTTTCAGTAACCTACCTCCTACACCATACACCTGCAACATCTGCCACATTGCCCCCCTATCCACCCTGTCATACGCCTTTTCCAAATCCATATCCATATCAGAATATGTGATAAAAACAATACAAGTATACTTTTCCCAAGCCAGCATTAGCATTTGCCCGTATCATCAACTATATTAAAAGTGAAAAGTGTTCTCTAACCATAAAATGGATACATATGATGCCACTGGAATGGCAGTAAAGAAGCTATCAAGTAGTGGTTTTTAGGGAGAAAATTTAAAGAACTATATACATACATGCATTCTTATATCCTTATCACCAATACTCTTAATATACACACAAAAACAAAGTAAATAAAGGAAAAATAACAAACTCAAGAATTACAATACAAACCTGAAATGATCCTTGAGTAGCCCCTTCAAGATCCTGTTGGGTTGTGACAGTCTGAATAGCAACAATCTTACTTCCTTCACCATTACCATCATTACATGCTGCAAGAAAACCACCAATACTTTCAAGTCTGAATATATCTTTTTTTTTTTTTATCTCATTGATCATTTCCCACCATGGTATGGAGACCCCTCCCCACCCCAAAAAAAATGCCATCATTCCTACACGTCTTTTTTATATTTTATATAATGTATGAGAGTACAGTGGTACCAACACTCTTATATGGGTGCGAAGCATGGGTTGTGAATGTTGCAGCAAGGAGGAGGCTGGAGGCAGTTGAGATGTTGTGTCTAAGGACAATGTGTATTGTAAATGTTATACAGAGAATTTGTAGTGTGGAAATTAGGATGTGTGGAGTTACTAAAAGTATTATTCAGAGGGCTGAAGAGTTGCTGAGGTGGTTTGGTCATTTTAGAGAATAGAGCAAAATATAATGACTTAGAGGGTGTATAAATCTGTAATGGAGGGAAGGAGGGGTATGGGTCATCTTAGGAAAGGATGGAAGGAGGGAGTAAAAGAGGTTTTGTATGGAAGAGACTTGGACATGCAGCAGGCATGTGTGAACATGTTAGATAGGAGACAAATGGTTTTTGAGTAAATAACAAAAAGGCACAATACCGTGACTGGAACGATACACAAATAACCCGCACATAAAAGAGAGAAGCTTACGACGACGTTTCGGTCCGACTTGGACCATTGACAAAGTCAATGGTCCAAGTGCGGGTTATTTGTGTATGGTTTTTGAGACCTGACGAGCCATTGGAGTGTGAGCAGGGTAATATTTTGTGAAGGGATTCAGGGAAACCGGTTAGCCGACTGGAGGTGGGAAGTACAATGCCTGCACTTTACAGGAGGGGTTTGAAATATTGGATGCTTGGAGTGATGTCTCAACTGTCATATCTGCAAGCTTCTGCAAAGACAGTGATAATGTGTGAATGATGGGGAAAGTGTTGAATGATAATGAAAGTGCTTCTTTCTTTCTTAGGTCATCCTGCCTCAGTGGGAGATGGCTGACGTGCTGAATATCTCAACCACATACTGAAGTTATAACTTTAAATATGACTGAATTACAGTAATACATATATATGAACTAAACTAATAATATCTACATTTGAACAAAATGAGGATTACAAATGAGCTTTTGCAGTTCTAGATATTTGTAAAGAGGTTTGGAATCAACCTCTATGATAAAACCATATAATGGCAGCAGAAAACAAAACATTAAACTATTTCTGCTTACCAGTGACATAAGAAGGCACTCGAACTCTCCAATCTACATCATTAATTTTAATTTTAAGTGTGTGCAACTGAAGTGGCTCCCGCAGATCCCACGCTGCCAAGGAACCATCTTCAAGCCCTGACAAGACAAGGGATGGACGAGATGGACTGAATGTGGCAGCAGTAGGAGAGGCACGACAACACAGGATGTGCTGGGCCGTGATGGTTCTTGCACAGACCATACACACACAAGCCCACTTTCATTCAATTCTCCATCACCATCTTCTGCCTATCAAGGTCAATATTGTTAGAAGAAAACTTTTAAGAAAACATTAAACCATTTGAATTGCAATAATAAAAATTCTGTTTTCAAGTACCCATACACTTCAAATATTAACCCTCTCACTGTATGTCCTGTAATATTACGGCTTGCAAGCCAGTGTCAGCCCTGTAATAGTATACCAAAATTCTAGCCGCTTCAAACCTTGCAAGAGAAAGCTGGTAGGCCTACATATGAGAGAATGGGTCTGAGTGGTCAGTGTGCACAGTATAAAAAAAAAAAAACTGTTGCAGCATGTAGTGCATAATGAGAAAAAAAAACTCCATGTTTTTCGTTTAAAATAGCAACTTTGCGGTGCATTTTTGTATGGCATTTGTGGGTGTATTCTTGTTTTCTTGATCTCATTTGATAGAATGGAAGATGTATTACAGAACTAGAGATAATTTTGGAATGGTTTACGGACTAAAGTACCTCGAAACTGGGCTCAAAGTAGCGGAAATGTTCAATTTTTGCCAATGTTCAAGAGCAAACAAATCATGTCACACGTCCAATACACGTCAACTGGTGGGTCTAATATGCTTTCACAAATGCACTGATATTATTTATACCATTTTGACAATAATGCAGTAGTTTGCATAACAATGAATAAAAATTCAAAATGGGAAGCAAGTGTAATATAAGAAGGACCTGGAGACATGACTAATGAAGAGAGAAAATATTATTTTAGTGTTAGCAATGTTTGTATTGCTAATTCTAGACCCTAGTTTTAAATTGGCCTTCCTTGAATTGTGTATGGAATTGGCCAAATTACCAATTTCTGATCACATTATTGGGTAGTTGAAATCAGTAAATGAGTGGTTTCTTGTGCTCAGTCGATAGAACAAAAGGAGTTCTAATAAAACAGCCATGAGTTTGATTGAATGGAACATTGAAATTGGTAAAAATAGAACTCAAAGTGGGCAAAATTGCCAATGCACAAATATCACAGAGATGGCTAACTTCATGAGAGCAAATTCCATAAGTTCTCCATCAAATTTTATACTTTTGTTGTCATTACCATCAGGAAAAGATTCTCTATCATTTCATAAGAAAATTTTTTTTTTTAATTCTTCGACACTGAGAGCAAGTTTGTAAGCAGGGGTCTCAACAGTAAAAGGGTTAATGAAAGATCAAGAAATACTTTGGTTTTTATACTGTATATATCCTTACTGAATATTATCTTCTTATTTTAAATCCAATACATCTTATTTTTCAAGGTTACTGAATTAGTCACTTCACTTCTAAGGAATGAGATTCTTGACAAAAGGAATATTTCATGTTTTCGAATATAATACAACAATGCTTAAAACCAAATTAATTTAACACCCAAACCTATGAGTCTGTGACAATGAAATTCTTTAACAATAATTCCTAAAGTAAAAATAAAAACCTCCAAAAAATGATCTTTCTCTTATCCTGGCTAGTCTATTCTGTGTACACTGAAGAAAGTAACTATCAAACTTTTTTTATATAATCAAGCTATCCCCAGAATACCCAAAATATTAGTTAGGCATAAACACTTAATTTTCTCCTAAAAAAAAGAAAAATTGACAACAAATTCCAACTACACAATAGAGTAAAAAACTAATGCAAAAGACCTGGGAGTGATAATGTCAGAGCATCTCTCCTTCAAAGACCACAACATTGTATCAATCACATCTGCTAGAAAAATGACAGGATCAAAAATGAGAACCTTCAAAACTAGGGATGCCAAGCTCATGATGACACACTTCAGGTCACTTGTTCTATATAGGCTGGAATATTGCTGCACACTAACAGCACCTTTCAAGGCAGGTGAAATTGCTGACCTAGACAATGTATAGAGAACCTTCACAGCACACATAACTGCAACAAAACACTTCAATTACTGGGAATGCTTAAAGTTCCTCAACCTGTACTCCCTAGAATGTGGGCAGGAGAGATACATGATTATATACACTTGGAAAATCCTTGGGGAATTAGTACTAAACTTGCCCAAGAAAATCACTCCCTATGAAAGCAAAAGACTCAGCAGAAAATGCAACATCCCCCCAATAAAAAGCAGGGGTGCCACTAGCATGATGAGAGACAACACAATAAATGTCAGGAGCCCAAGACTGTTCAACTGCCTCCCAGCATACATAAGGGGGATTACCAATGAACCCCTGGGTGTCTTCAAGAAGGCACTGGATTGGCACCTAAAGTCATTACCTGACCAGCCAAGCTGTGATTCATATGTCGGGTTGCATGCTGCCAACAGTAACAGCCTGGTTGATCAGGCCCTAATCTACCATGAGGCCTGGTCACAGGGGCGTTGACCCCCGAAACCCTCTCCAGGTATACATCTAAATAACTTTATATAGGATACACAACTACAGACCTAGAACCTTCGTATAAATTTATATTATTGCCCATAAAATAATTTGTGAAAGCATTTCTTCTCTTTCTGGTTATCCTGCCTCAGTGGAAGACAATCTGTGTGTAAATCATTTGTAGATTTCCTGAAGAAAGCTTATCTTAACGTTTACTCATAGAATTCTGTACACATGTAACCAACATCTCCATTTACGATAGAATTACAACAAAAATTGTTCATAAATAACGTTTAATGGAGGTGACATGCACTGTGATATAATCTCACCATAGAATTATAACCATGAGCAGAGAGCAGCATTGTTGATTCTGTGGCACAAAACTGGACGAAAGGTACCGGCCGCTTATCCAGGAGAGACTTGACGTTGGTGCCTAATGGTACTGGAGGGTGTGAAAAGCCCAAGCCCTCTGATGGTGATGTCTGTGAGCTGCTGCTGTCTAATTCTACCAAATCCCACACCAACTCTTCTTCCAAGATTGCTAGCATTACCTGTAATAAGATGTATCAATAAAAATTTAGAGCCCTATTTATTAATCTCACTTCATTCAAATCAACATGACAGAAAAAAGTTCATCTTTGCTCATCAGGAAGCCATTAGTCAAAAGTGATAATTTAAAGGAAACTGGGAAAAACAAAGAGCCTCATTTTTTAAAAATGGAAAATACGGCACAGCTGGTTGTCTTCTTTTTTTCTTGTACACAAAATCAATCTCTAGTAAATACATGATCAATTTAATTTAAAGCAAAAGAAAATTATCTGTTTCAGGCAACATTTCTGTTTCTGCCATACTGGGTTTGTTGTAGTATCTTCTACAAGCCACAATAAATTTAGGACATTCCACAAGGAAGTGTGTGAGAGAAATTTACGCCTCGCATCTGTAGTATACGACGCCATTTGCGTCATGAGATAAAAATGAATAATGCTGGTGGGGCCAATTATTAGTTTATAGAGGTGTCTCCCCTCTTCAGTTCTTATTACAGGATAAGGTTCAACTCTTAGTTCCTGGTTTCATTTGTCAGGCATTACCGCTCCAGACGGCAATAAGAAGCCAGCATCCTTACCATCCTTTAAGTGTCATTATTATTCCAGTGATGTCTGTGTATACAACATCAGAATGTGCCCATCTGCACTAGTTAATACAATATGCTAGTTAATACACTGGGATCATTTTTAATAAAATGAATAAGATATAAAGTGAAAATGAAAACAATCCATGCTGTGTAAGACACGAGTAGACGAGAACAGCTACTATTTAGACCTTTCTTTCTAAATCAAGTTCACTTTTTTTTTTTTTATTTTACCACATCAATCATTTTTCCAACAAGGCTTGGTGAACGAAACAAAGAAACACATTCACCATCACTCGTTCCCTAGCTGCATTTCCAGAAGAGCACAATTTTTTTTTTTCAACAAGTGGCCATCTCCCACCTAGGCAGGGTAACCCATAAAGAAAGAAAATCCCCAAAATGAAAATACTTTCATCATCATTCAACACTTTCACCTCACTCATACATAATCACTGTTTTTGCAGAGGCACCCAGATACAAGTTTAGAAGCATATATAAAAATATATTACACATCCCTCCAAACTGCCAATATCCCAAACCCCTCCTTTAAAGTGCAGGCATTGTACTTCCCATTTCCAGGACTCAAGTCCGGCTATATAAAAATAACCGGTCTCCTTGAATCCCTTGACTAAATATTACCCTGTTCACACTCCAACAGCTCGTCAGGTCCCAAAAACCATTCGTCTCCATTCACTCCTATCTAACACGTTCATGTACACTTGCTGGAAGTCCAAACCCCTCACCCACAAAACCTCCTTTACCCCCTCCTTCCAACCTTTTTGAGGATGACCCCTGCCCTGCCTTCCTTCCCCTACAGATTTAAATGCCCTCTATGTCATTCTACTTTGATCCATTCTCTCTAAATGACCAAACCACCTCAACAACCCCTCTTCAGCCCTCTGACTAATACTTTTATTAAGTCCACACCTCCTCCTAATTTCCACACTTCGAATTCTCTGCGTAATATTTACACCGCACACTGCCCTTAGACAGGACATCTCCACTGACTCCAACCGCCTCCTCACCGTAGCATTTACAACCCAAGCTTCACGCCCATATAAAAGTGTTGGTACTACTATACTTTCATACATTTCCTTCTTTGCCTCCATTGATAATGTTTTTTGTCTCCACATATACCTCAATGCATCACTCACCTTTTCCCCTCATCAATTCTATGGTTAACCTCATCCTTCATAAATCCATTCGCTGACACATCAACTCCCAAATATCTGAAAACATTCACTTCTTCCATACTCCTCCTCTCTAATGTGATATCCAATTTTTCTTTATCTAAATCATTTGATACCCTCATCACCTTACTCTTATCTATGTTCACTTTCAACTTTCTACCTTTACACACCCTTCCAAACTCGTCCACTAACCTTTGCAACTTTTCTTTAGAATCTCCCATAAGCACAGTATCATCAGCAAAAAGTAACTGTGTCAATTCCCATTTTGTATTTGATTCCCCATAATTTAATCCCACCCCTATCCCTAACACCCTAGCATTTACTTCTTTTATAACCCCATCTATAAATATATTAAATGACCATGGTGACATTACACATCCCTGTCTAAGACTTACTTTTACTGGGAAGTAGTCTCCCTCTCTACTACACACCCTAACCTGAGCCTCACTATCCTCATAAAAACTCTTTACAGCATTTAATGACTTACTGCCTATTCCATATTGCTCTCCTATCCACTCTATCATATGCCTTTTCTAAATCCATTAATGCAATGAAAACTTCCCTACCTTTATCTAAATACTGTTCACATATATGCTTCAATGTAAACACTTGATCTACACATCTCCTACCCACTCTGAAACCTCCTTGCTCATCCGCAATCCTACTGTCTGTCTTACCTCTGTATACCGTACAGTAGTCCTGGTATACTCAGTAAACTTCTTCCCCTATAATTTTTACAATCTCTCATGTCACCCTTCTCTTTATATAAAGGAACTATACATAATATCACAATTTAAATGACCCTTACATTGCACACAAAATGAACATGGTGGCTTTTGACACTAGTATACATGTAACGCTGAAAACTTTATTACACCGTACACCTACCTGTGATGATGAGGTTAGGAAAGAAGTAAGTTTTACAGTGTTGTTGCTCTTGCTTGGCAGACCAGAGTATTCAAGTGGATCCATGTCACCACCCACTCCCATGTAATCTTCTGGTCCAGGTAACTGGCCACCTTCTCCAATGCTAATATTTACGGGCTTCTGTGTCCACTTATTGCGTGATATTATGTCTTCCGTCTGAACTTCTTCACATAATGCATCATCATTTGTTTGTACAGTTACCTGAAAAATATACTACAATGTAAATCACAATCATAGATGAATCTCATTAACAATGACTGAATAAAAATTTTAATTTCAAATACACTACAATATAAACCACAGTAACAGATATATAACATGGCTAGTAATTCTTTAATTTCCAATAGGAAAAAGTTAATTGACAGTTAAAGGGGTTCACTCACCAATAACATCTTTAAAATATTTGATGCTATTTTATTTGAAAAACACTGTTAAATATATAAGCAAAAAATTTCACTATACATTATTATTTTTTGATTAACACATCGGCCGTTTCCCACCAAGGTAGGGTGGCCCGAAAAAGAAAAACTTTCACCATCATTCACTCCATCACTGTCTTGCCAGAGGTGCACTTATACTACAGTTTTAAAACTGCAACAATAACACCCCTCCTTCAGAGTGCAGGCACTGTACCTCCCATCTCCAGGACTCAAGTCCAGCCTACTGGTATCCTTTCATCCTTTCATAAATATTACCCTGCTCACACTCCAACAATACGTCAAGTCCTAAAAACCATTTGTCTCCATTTGCTCCTATCTAACACACGCATGCTTGCTGGAAGTCCAAGCCCCTCGCACACAAAACCTCCTTTACCCCCTCCCTCCAACCTTTCCTAGGCCGACCTCTACCCCATCTTCTCTCCACTACAGATCTATACACTCTCGAAGTCATGCTATTTTTTTCCATCACTATACATGAATGAAAATTTATAAAAGCTATTCATTCTTTGCAAGGTGAGAACATGGGCTGATATTTATCCTGGTTACTCTTATAAAAACAATAACTATTTTCCAAATACATAATTATGTTAGGTGTTTTTAGGACTGGTCATAATATGGAATAAACAATGCAAAGTAATAATCATGCAAAGTCCTAAATCCATGAGGGTCATTCAGTGCTGCACAGTAGGAAAAAAAGTAGTTTACAGAGCTCACGTAGAAAGAAAACATAATCAACATAAGAAGATTTAATAATTGATAGCAGTTAGTACAGTTTAAACTCAGATCAATTGTCTAGGAATAAAAAAAACATGCTTGCATGGATGAGATTGCTTTGCTACTAGAATCTTTTCAGAAGACAAAAAAAATATATTAACTTTTTTGAATCCTGTAAGCAGAGATGACAGTCACTGAGATATTGTTATATTTACATACAACAAACCTGGGAACATCTTCAAAACTCTCAACTGACTTCTTTGGCACAAAAATGAGAGGAACATTTATTTTGCATACAATACTTTACTGGAGTGAGAAGCCTAATTAAAGTAATAAGGGGATACAATATGAATACCCAGATGTCATTAAACATTTGGCAAAATTAACTTAACGTTTTTTTGCACCACTGTCTTTCAAATTTCCAGAGGAAACTTAAAAATTGTCATTATATTCACAGTCAGGCACAAAACCTGTAAGGACTACATGGTACCTAGGAAAATGGGAGGTAATAAGATTTAATCCAAGGAAAGATAGGGCAGTTAAAATTCCTTGGATCAAGGACCATTACCAGGATTAAGGCACCACCCCTGAGGGTATGATACTTGACAAATTTACTCAGATGTCTGATCTACCACAAGTTATCAAAATATAACTTTTACAGTACTGGGCTAATTAAAAATTATTTTTGGAAGCGGCAAAAATTACTTTAACTCTTCAGTTAGTGGCATTCACATACCTGATGTCTGTTAGAGTGACCAAAGCTAGAAATATAAGCCTCATAGGATATTGGAGACAGAGTGAGAAAGTCCGCATTAACAGTATCCAATTCTATCATGTTCAGTAAAATGCGTCCTCGACTCATTACTTTCGATGAAACCTGGAATGAATAAATTTGTTTCAGATTATAGCAGTACTGACAATCATTAAGACAGATGACGACCACAGATTTAAAACTCATAAATAACTCTCTCAATGGGCAGACAATTAACAGACTGCAGCAATGTGATTAAAAATTTCTAAATACTACAGTACTGTACATGGCAATATGATGTTGGGCAACACTGTTACAACTCTGGGTACTGACACCATTTAATTCATAGCTTTTAACATACAGTTTTGAGCAATAGAAGAGCATCTATACTCTATAGGGTAGAAATTGTGGCTTATTAGTTTGTAATACAGTATAGCTGATAAAGTTTGATGTATGTACAGTTACAATTGCATTATTTCAGTGAATTTTTTCTGAGCACAAACCCAGAAATATGGATATTTGCCACTCAAGATTAAACTCTTTTATTCATCCACTAATGATCATTCTGGAAAATAAAAGTGCCTGATAATATAATATTGATATGCTTAGAGTGATATCTAAACTGTTGTATCTATGCACCTCTGCAGAGACAGTGATAGTGTGAATGATGGTGAAAGTGTCTTTTTCTGGGGTGGGGGTCACCCTGCCTCGATGGGAGACACCCAGTGTGTTAAAAAAAAAAAAATGTTTTCTCAGACTTTTTTACAACACTGGCTATTTCTTATCAAGGTAAGGAGACCCAAAGAAGGAAACACATTTGTCATCACTCATTCAATAACTGTCTTATGAGAAATGCCCACACATCACAATTCATTTTTTTTTTCAACAAGTCAGCCATCTCCCACCTAGGCAGGGTGACCCAAAAAGAAAGAAAATCCCCAAAACAAAAATACTTTCATCAGCATTCAACACTTTCACCTCACTCATACATAATCACTGTTTTTGCAGAGGCACCCAGATACAACAGTTTAGAAGCATATATAAAGATACAATATAAAAAGTGACCTGAAATAATTACAATATCAATATCAATAGTCAGAGGGCAGAAGAGGGGTTGTTGAGGTGGTTTGGTCATTTAGAGAGAATGGATCAAAGTAGAATGACATGGAAAGCATATAAATCTATAGGGGAAGGAAAGAGGGGTAGGGGTCGTCCTCGAAAGGGTTGGAAAGAGGGGGTAAAGGAGGTTTTGTGGGCGAGGGGCTTGGACTTCAAGCAAGCGTGCGTGAGCGTGTTAATAGGAGTGAATGGAGACGAATGGTACTTGGGACCTGACGATCTGTTGGAGTGTGAGCAGGGTTATATTTAGTGAAGGGATTCAGGGAAACCGGTTATTTTCATATAGTCGGACTTGAGTCCTGGAAATGGGAAGTACATGCCTGCACTTTAAAGGAGGGGTTTGGGATATTGGCAGTTTGGAGGATATGTTTGTGTATCTTATATGTGTATGCTTCTAGACTGTTGTATTCTGAGCACCTCTGCAAAAACAGTGATAATGTGCGAGTGTGGTGAAAGTGTTGAATGATGATGAAAGTATTTTCTTTTTGGGGATTTTCTTTCTTTTTTGGGTCACCCTGCCTCGGTGGGAGACGGCCAACTTGTTGGAAAAAAAAAAAAAAAAAAAAATAATATATATATATATATATATATATACATACACTGTCCTATTATATATCCCACCAAACTGCCAATATCCCAAACCCCTCCTTTAAAGTGCAGGCATTGTACTTCCCATTTCCAAAACTCAAGTCCAGCTATATAAAAATAACTGGTTTCCCTGAATCCTTTCAGTAATTGTATATGCTTTGGGGAGCCAAGTAAAACAACTGTTAGTTACATTTACACCAGCTACAGTATAAGGAACATAAAGTAATATTTTTTTAATGCTATGGCTGTCTCCCACCAAGGCACTGTGACTCAAAGAAGAAAACATTCACCAACATTCACTCAGCTGCCATCTTTCCAGAAGTGAATTGACATCACAATCAGATTACTTCTCTGACTAATATCCCCACACCACCTCCAGAATGCAGGCACTTCTCTCCCCACTATCAGGACTCATGTCTGGTTAACTAGTTTCTCTGACTCCCTTTATGAAAGCTACACTGCTCACACTCCAACAGCACATCCATTAAAAAACCACCTGTCTTCACTCCTATTTAACACACTAAGACAAACCTGCTAGATGCTCATCCCCTAAAGTAAAAAGCCTCTTGTATTCCCCCTTCTTCCAATTATTCCTCGATTATTATTGTATATTTAAGGGAAAGCACTAAACCTGTTGGGTTCATACAATGCCTGGAAAATGTGAGGCAATCAGGTCTGACCCAAGAAAGGGAAGGGGAGCTCTAATTCCTTGAATCAAGAACTCTAGACATCATTAAAGCACTCCCCATTACAGGGGAAAATAAACAATAACAGAGCCAAAGCAAACCTGTGCTGCCATTTGCTTCTTCCTTGCTTCAGCGAAGTTGACAAAAGTGCGAGAAGTCTTTGGCCTCGGGATCGGAGTGCGGGGGTCTTCAGGTACCTCAGGTTTTTTGTCTTCAGATATTGTTTCTGTGAGAGAAAGAAGATACAAGTAAGAAAAAGACATAACATACTAATAGCCTGAACAACCTACATTATCCTGTACAGTAGGGCCCCGCTTTACGGTGTTCCGCTAATATGGAGATTTCAAATTATGACCAAAACTCTCTATACGGCTCGCCATCTTACTGATATGGCACGTGCCACCTGGTTTGTTTACATTCTCTATGAGCGCCATGTCTCTCCATTATGTTTGGAAACTTTCCAAAATTTCAAGTGTTTTAACCCTTTCAGGGTCCAGAGGCCAAATTTCAAAGTGTGCACCAGGGTCCACGAATTTAAAAAAAAAAAAAATTATTTTTTCTTATGAAATGGTAAAGAATCTTTTTCTGAAGGTAATAAAACAAAAAGTACGAAATTTGATGGAAAATTGACGATATTATGCTCTCGCGAATTTTGATGTGTCAGCAATATTTACGAATTGGCGATTTTGCAGGCTTTGACTCCCATTTTAGGCCAGTTACATTATTCCAGTCGACCAAATTCTTAGCTATTTCACTAGTATTATTTCTATTCTATCGAATGAGCACAAGAAATCGCCAAGTCAACTGTTTCAACTACAAAATAAAGTGATCGGAAATTGGTAATTTGGCCAATTTAACACAAAGTTCAAAATATTCCAATTTCAAAATAGAGTCCAGAATAAACAATGTAGGTATTCCTGGCACTAAATTAACATTTCCTCTGTTCATTGGTTATGTTTTGAGGCTTTACAAATGAATTCCATTTTGATTTTTTATTCACATAATGAATTTTTATTCAAACCAAAAAATAGAAGATTTACTGATATGCAATGTTGTAATAATTGTATAAGTAACATCACCACATTTGTGAATGTATATTAGACCCACCAGCTGGTGTGTATTAGATGTGTGAGGTCGTTTGTTTACTCTTGAACATCGGCAAAAATTTAACTTTCCGCTACTTTGAGCTCAGTTTCAAGCCATTTCCAGTGCTAAAACCAATCAAAATCATCTCTATTTCTGTAATATATCTTCCATTCTATCAAATGAGACCATGAAATTGCAAATACAACTATAAAAAACATACGAAAAAACACTGCAAATTCGCTGTTATAATCGAAAATCACGGTCTCGGTTTTTTCTCTGATTATACACTGTGTGCTGCAGGATTTGTTTTATGTGGTGCACACATACCACATAGATGTATTCTCTCATATCTAGGCCCAAATTTATCACTCACAGCTTATCAGAGTGAGCTGAGCTCATGGCGTTGATCTACGGTTTGGACCCTGAACATAAAGCCGTAGATCTATGGCACGGACCCTGAAAGGGTTAAAGCTATTGCATATTTTATATATACTCTGATAATTATACTTATGTGTACCTGTACCTAAGTAAACTTACACACTGTGCTGGCATGCAAGTGCACATTAAAATCACTAAGAGTGTCTTATTAGTCTTGAAGATGCCATATTAATAATGATAATAATAATAACACACAATAATAATCACTCTGAGGCACATTAAATGTTGTATGAAATGTTAATATAGATATTTTGCTTAATCCATCTATGATATTTTTTCAAAGTTACATAATAAACATGCTACATAACATATAAACATGATAAATATACCCACAGTAGAATAAATTAACATAAATGAGACATTTTTCTAATCGGCCTGCCGGAGTGAACTAAAGCCATACGTGTTTGGCTGGTTTGTTTACATAACTCACGTCTGTCCTCTCTCATGTACTCATTCTCTCTCTCTCTTGTTTATTCATTTAATATTGTTTACTCACCTCTCACCCTACATTAAGCTACAAATATCTTAAGGTAAGTAATGAGTGTACTGTATATGCATTTTATCACTCTAGGGCACTTTAAATGCCTAGTATTTATTGTGTGGGTGGGGTGGCCAGATGGAGTTACAATACCTACCACACTATCCGATACCTACCTACCCTACTATAGGTCTCCCTCAACATTCACGTTTTCCACTTTCGCGGGCTTCAAACATTCGCGAATTCCCAGCCGCCCAATCATATTTAAAATATGTCATTACATATGTTAGGAATTGTGGTGGTGGCAGAGTTTGTTTGGAGATAGGACAAGATAGTCCTTCAATATGACATTAATATCAACTCTACAGCTTATTTATCTATCAAAATTCATCTAATATGACATAATAAACAATATTAATAACATAGAAACATGACATATATTCTAGAATGAAAAAAATATGTCATTAAGTATGTAACAAGTGTTGTTGCATTGCTGATGTTGTTGGGTGTATAAGGGCCACTGAGAGCATAAGCTGTACATATTGGTGGTGGAGGGAGGCGGCAGCAGAGGCAGTAGAGACGGCAGTGTTGTCAGTTGCCCTATACTGTATAACTCAAACAACGTTGGAGGAGTTAGGTTTGTGCTGTCCTTTTTCTATCGATTAATCGCTTAACTTACATGCTACACTGATAATGCTACACTTTATCACTGGCTGGTGCTATAGCCTTTATTGACTGTGCTGCTTTAGTATCATACATATTGAAGAATCACTGAAGAAGGCACATTCCCCCCTCTCTCTTCCTCCTCCACTTTGGTACTCTGCTATGAGTTCTTTCTTGAATTCTATAGTCTTTCTCACCTTCTTTACCTAAGGGCTGGCACTAGTATCATATTTTACGATATTTTCATGTGTTTTATGACTGTTCATGGTTCAATAGGGCAAGGAAGCAGTATTGTATTACATTTCCCTACAATATATTGGGGCACCAAACATTTGCGATTTTTCAATATTCACGAGGCTCTTGATCCCCTAACCCTCGCGAATGTTGAGGGAGACCTGTATTCACCTTGCACCCTATATTAAGACCATTAAGACTACAAATATTTTAAGGTAAGTAATGAGTGTACACTATATGCATTTTATCACTCTAGGGCTTTTTAAATGTTGAAGTATATTACGTGTGGGTGGGATGGGGTGGCCTGGCTGGCTACCATACCTGCCACACCTAACTTCTTACAATAAACACTACTCACCCTACATTAAGACTACAAATATTTTGAGATAAGTAATGAGTCTGTGTGTGTTATTTTACTTTTTATTGTCTTTTAATGACTTGTTCTATTGCTAACTTAATACATCTTAGTGTAAACTTATTATCTGACATTTACAAGTGGAAACAAATGGCGTTCTACTTTCTGGCGATGTCCACTTTCCGGCAGTAGCCTGGAACTTAACCTGCTGTTTAAGTGGAGCCTTGCTGTATATGCTTATGGCATTGAAATATGAGAGAATTTATCATTTACATACTTCTTATCTGGGCTTGCAAATCAGTAGTGGTAAGGGAAAAAGAATGCACAACACTAAAAGAATTTTTTTTCATAAGTCCTATGTATATAGTATATATTTTGTTTTATTAACACATCAGCCATTTCCCACCTAGGTGGGGTGGCCTGAAAAAGAAAAACTTTCACCATCATTCACTCCATCACCATCTTGCCAGAGGTGCAATTACACTAGTTATAAAACTGCAACATTAACACCCCCTCCTTCAGAGTGCAGGCACTGTAATTCCCATCTCCAGAACTCAAGTCTGACCTGTCCGTTTCCCCTGAATCCCTTCATAAATATTACCTTGCTCACACTCCAACAGCACGTCAAGTCTTAAAACCCATTTGTCTCCATTCACTCCTATCTAATATACTCATGCATGCTTGCTGGAAGTCAAAGCCCCTCACACACAAAACCTCCTTCACCCCCTCCCTCCAACCTTTTCTAAAATGACCCCTACCCTGCCTTCCCTCCACTACAAATTTATACTCTCTTGAAGTTATTCTATTTTGTTCCATCCTCTCTACATGTCTGAACCACCTCAACACCCCCTCCTCAGCTCTCTGGATAATAGTTTTGGTAATCCCACACCACCTCCTAATTTCCAAATTATGAATTCTCTACATTATATTCACACCACACATTGCCCTCAGACACAACATCTCCACTGCCTCCAGCCCTCTCCTTGTTGCAACATTCACCATCCATACTTCACACCCAAATAAGAGCATTGGTATAACTATACTCTCATTCATTTCACCTCTTTGCTTCCATGGACAAAGTTGTCTCCACAGACTCCTCAGTGCACCACTCATCTTTTTTCCCCCTCATCAATTTTATGATTTACCTCATCTTTCACAGAACCACCTGCTGACACGTCCACTCCTAAATATCTGAAAGCATTCACCTCCTCTGTACTCTCTCCCTCCAATCTGATATTCAATCTTATGTTACTAATTTTTTTTATCCTCATCACCTTACTCTTTCCTATATACATTTTTAATTTTCTTCTTTTACATACCCTACCAAACTCATCCACCAACCTCTGCAACTTCTCTTCAGACTCTCCCAAAAGCACAGTGTCATCAGCTAATAGAAACTGTGACAACTCCCACTTTGTGTTAGATTCTTTATCTTTTAACCCTACACCTCTTGACAACACCCGAGTATTCACTTCTCTTACAACCCCATCTATAAATATATTGAACAACCACAAAGACATCACACATCCTTGTCTAAGGCCTACTATTACTGGGAAATAATCTCCCTCTCTCCTACATACTCTAAACCTGAGCCTCACTATCCTCATAAAAACTCTTCACTGCTTTCAATAACCTACCTCCTATTCCATACATTTGCAACATCTGCTACATTGCTCCCTTATCCACCCTGTCATATGCCTTTTTCAAATCCATAAATGCCACAAAAACCTCTTCACCCTTATCTAAATACTGTTCACCTATATGTTTCACTTCAAACACTTGGTCTACACACCCTCTACCCTTCCTAAAGCCTCCTTGTTCATCTACTTTCCTACTTTCCATCTTACTCTTAATTCTTTCAATAATAATTCTACCATACACTTTACCAGGTATACTCAACAGACTTCTTCCCGTATAATTTTTACACTCTCATTTGTCCCCTTTGCCTTTATACAAAGGAACTATGCATACTTTCTGCCAATCCCTAGGTACTTTACCCTCTTCCATGCATTTATTAAATAAAAGCACCAACCACTCCAAAACTATATGAAAATAGAAATACTTATGAATATGCAGAATTTGGAATTTATGATATAAAGGATAGCATTTCTACCCTGTATGGGAAAAGAATAGACAAATGAAAAAATTCATTCCACCTGTATACGAGACAAATGAAAAACTCATTCTACTTGTATACAAGTCAGAATAATAAAAAAAAATCATTCTACCTGTATAGAAGACAGACTAATGAAAAAAAATCCTGCTATATCTCTGAAGTTTTATTCTCTCATCTGCCTTGAGGGTATGACCACAAGAGAGAAAACTATATAATGAAGAACTAAACACCAGATAGCATGAGTTCAAGATAGTTTGACAAATTTCGAGAAAAGAGCTACTATACAAAAGTATTAATGAAACTTGAACATTATGGACACAGCCACTTTCCTACATACTTTTCTGAACAAAATCTATGGCTGGTTTTCAATTTTAGTGTCTTGTACCAAGTCAAAAAAAAATGGATACCCAGCCAAAGTTAGATTGCACCAACACATAGTTGGGACTAGGGGTAAAGGGAGGGAAGGAGAGGAAAAGGCAGGAGACAGTAGTAGGAAGATATACCATTCACAGGTGGTGGCAACTACCGACGGTGGTAGCTGATACCACCGTTGCTACAGGTTTGCATAGGTATTATACAGGGAAACATTAACCCTCACCCTTTATTCCTTTTTTTGGAGGTCCAAGGAACATAACTCTTTCTTTCCTTATATGTTCCCAACTTTGGTTAAAATAAACTTGAATAAAGAGCTGATTTTCAAGCTTAAACCCACACATTACTCAAGGACCTACTATATATCATATAAACAGTGATCAATACTATTTGTAAGTGAAATGGAACAATAGTGAATGTAAAATATTTTGATAATATTTTTAGTAAAAAATTAAATGAAATACAGTGGAACCATAAGTTTCAGCCGAAATCCGTTCCAGGAGCTAGGCCTAAAGTCGAAATGGCCTAAAATTGAAGTAGTATTTCCCATAAGAAATAATGTAAATCCAATTAATCCATTCCACCTAAAAATATTCACAAAAAAAATCATTTTTTAAAGAATAAATACTATAGTTTTACATACAGAAAACAAGAAATAAATAAAAAGCACTAATTTTAATGGATAAATGAACATTTAAATCAGTTTTACCTTCATTGAAGACTCCTGTTGGCATATGAGAAAGGCAGGAGAGTTTGTTTGGAGGCAAGACAAGACAGTCCTTCAATATGACACTAATATCAACTCTACAGCTTATTCATCTAGCACAATTCATCTAATATGACATAATAAACAATATTAATAACATAGAAACAGGATATATACTCTAGAATGAATAAAATGTGTCACGTCTCTCTCTCTAACTGACGAGTGTTGCTGTGTTGTTTGTTGTTGGGTGTATAAGAGCCACTGAAAGATAAGCCTTACATAGTGATGGTGATGGCAGCAGCAGAGGTGGCAGTGTTGTCAGTCTCCCTATATAACTCCAACAACACTGGAGGAATCAGTTTCATGCTGTCCTGTTTCTATCGATTAATCGCTTAACTTACATGCTACACCTTATCGCTGGCTGGCACTATAGCCTTTATTGACTCGTGCTGCTTTAGTATCGTACATGTTGTAAAATCAATGAAGAAGGTACATTCTCCCCTCTCTCTTCCTCCCCCACTTTGGTACTTTGCTACAATTTCTTTCATCAATTCCATGTGTTTCCCACTTTCTTTACCAAGGGCTGCCACTATGAAGTTTCTTTGGGCCCATGGTGTCTTATTTCAGTCACAATCAATAAACAAGCACTAAACACAATGAATTTACTGTGAAATGTTTGGATGAGTGCGCAGGGTAACGTTCACTCAAAGATAAATAAAGCTAGACTGGCTCACTGCGCAGGCGAGCAGGTGCGGGCAGGCGGACAGGTCTGGTACACCGGCCGAAACGTAGGGCACAGGCCAAAACTCGGGACAAAATTTAGCCGAAAAATGAGGTCGAAATTCGAAGCGGCCAATACTCAGGGTGGCCAAAACATGGGGTTTCACTCTATAATAGGGAATATTATGGATCAGAAATGCATCTCAAATTATAACACGAGTGTCTATGAGAAAACAGGTTCCGAGTTCCAAACAAATGACTTGTGAAAAAATTTCAGGAATCCATTAAAGTCAAATACGGGGATCTACTGCATATACAGTATGGCAATTTCACACTTACGTACATACCCAGCAACGTCATGTTCTCAGGGAACAATGAGTGGTGTTCTTGATCAGGAATATCTACACTTGATGTTCGTTGCAGATGCTTCTCAAAGTTATTCTCTTCTTGTAATGCCAATAGCACAGCAGCTATCTCAGGGTCAGGATGCTCAAATCCACTCTCTTCACCTTCAGAATCATCTTCAGAGTCATCTTCTGAATCATCATCATCATCATCTTCCTCCTGCTCCTCTTGCTCTTCCAGCTCGTCTTCATTTCCTGAACCAGTATCATCCTCAAAGTCAGATTCATAATCCTGGGAAAAAAATCAATATATGTGTGAATAAATTATCTAAAGATGCAAACCAAAAACAACATTAATATTGAGGTTGAAAGACTGGATGCCAAAAGAAATTCTATATAATAATAAATAATGGCTTCTTGATAAAAATTCAATGGTTCTGAAATATGAAAAAAAAAAAAAAAAAAAAAAAAAAAAATGTAAAAAACAGTAAATTTCTGGATGGAAAATTAAATTTATGAAAACCTCAACAATCTCGTCAAATATGCTTCTTCATATGAGAATATGTAAAGAAATACTCCAACATTAGGATGAAAGATGTAACAGCTATTATTATTTATTTCTTCTGAAAGTCAAAAATTTTTCTGTCTCATAGTTCACTTTTCATTTAACCTGTCTTATTTGCATTTATGACAAACCATCCCTCATAAACACTTCCTTTGAAGGGATGGCCATAACTGACAACCTATCACAGGAGCCTTTGCATGTGCTCCTATACATCACTATATTATGTCAAGACACCCAAGAACTACAGGTTGTGTGTCAGTTATAACAAAATACATCTAGCCTACAAAGTGGAAATGAATGTAGAGGATCTGATTCATTGGACCATCATCAGCCCGACTTGTGACTGGGTAATGATTCTGGACAGACCAAAATGCCATCCAGTTTCATATCCAATTTGTGGATTAGCTGTGAGCATCAGCTTACAGTTAAGTAAATATTTATGTTCTAACAAAATGTCTATTAAAATCTACTTGTCTCCATTCACTCCTATTAACACACTCCAACAAGCAGACTTGAATGAGTGTTAGATATGAATGAATAAAGACAAGTGGTTGTTAATAGCTGTGTTGCTGAAGTGTGAGCAAGGTTACTTTGATGAAAAGATCCAGGGAAAACCAGTTAAGAGTCCTACAGGTGGGAAGGGCAGTGCCTAATATCTGGAGGAGGAGGAGCTGGGATGTTGTAGTCTGAGGGTAAAGGGAATTGTGCTATCAGTACACGTCTGGCATGATAATGACTGAATGAATAATGGCGAATGTTTCCTTCTCTAGGTCACCATGCCTTGGCAGGAGATGGCCATTTATGTTAAAAAAAAAAGTAATGATGGCCTGATTGCATTTAATATTGCCTAGAGCCTGGAATGAATCTACTACTTGAAATAAGGAACACACAAAAAAAAATAATAAAAATATTTGCTTACAAAAAATTACAGGTATAGGTGAGATACAGAGGTCTGTAAACAGCACATACAAATATTAAAGCAACAATGATGATAAACTATTGAATCTAACCTCAAAATCTTCCTCATAGTCATTGTCCTCTTCCATATATCATCTTCAGCCTCATCGTTAGGAACTGTGGAAGCAACAGCCATGGAATTTTGTAGTTTAAAGGCAGCAGAGTAATCTTCATGTGTATCTTGGAGAGATAAACTGTCACCTTCAATTATTTCTGTATTTTTCTTCATCTCTTCCTCATCCATTTCTCCCACCTCTGCTATTTTTGAAGAGATAGACTCTTCAACATCAACTTCATCCCCACTTAAATCCCGTGGAGATGAGAGAGAGATTCCTGTAGCAGAATTATAAACATGGTACAAAAGACAATATATTATTATTATCATTACTGTAATTGGGGAAGCACTAAACCCATAGGGGGTCATAGCAATCAGAGAGGATATATTCATTTCCCTGGATCAAGATTCCTTCACCAGCAAGAAGGCTGGACAATATGAATAAGCAAAATATGTCTCAACAGGAATAAACACAACTGAGAAACAAAGGTAGGTAAAGATAAGCACTGGGTATACTAAATATAAGTAGATGTTTGCAGGATTTGCCTGCCAATCTAAATGTTTATAAAAAGAAAGAAAAGACCAGTAAACCTGCCAGATGTAAAATGCTCAACAGACTTTAGTTCCATTCATATGACAGGAAAGTATTAACTCTAAATATAGTTACTGTCAATCAACCTTTTAACTTTTCTAACACTGTATACATGAAGAATAGCTTTAGATTTATGAAAGACAAACAAATGCAACACACAAAGCAAAATTAACACACCACAGTGTTCCTATTACTAACCTGACTCCATTGTCTCAAGACTGTTTTGAGCATGTTCTATAACTTCTGCCTCAAGGTTATTTGAAGTGTCGCTGACTGTTACCTGTCCCAAACTTACACCTTCCACACCAGAATCTAAAAAAAAATACATATTAGTACAAGATATGGCTTAATGAAAATGAACATAATCCTCAGAAAAGGTAATAGTTTTTCAATATAATTATACAGTAAATGTTGTACCAACTGCTTGGCTCCTGGATTAGGTTGGAATTTTCTGGTAGTTACTCATTGCCTACTGGGTAGTCCAAATCCAAAGTGGAAAATAGACATGATCATGGACCATTTAAACAAGTGCTATAAAAACTCACCCCCCTCTCACCCCTACATCACCATTATTATTTTTGTTTTTTTTCAACAAGTCGGCCGTCTCCCACCGAGGCAGGGTGACCCAAAAAAGAAAGAAAATCCCCAAAAAGAAAATGCTTTCATCATCATTCAACACTTTCACCACACTCACACATAATCACTGTTTTTGCAGAGGTGCTCAGAATACAACAGTTGAGAAGCATATACGTATAAAGATACACAACATATCCCTCCAAACTGCCAATATCCCAAACCACTCCTTTAAAGTGCAGGCATTGTACTTCCCATTTCCAGGACTCAAGTCCAACTATATGAAAATAACTGGTTTCCCTGAATCCCTTCACTAAATATTACCCTGCTCACACTCCAACAGATCGTCAGGTCCCAAGTACCATTCGTCTCCATTCACTCCTATCTAACACGCTCACACACGCTTGCTGGAAGTCCAAGCCCCTTGCCCACAAAACCTCCTTTACCCCCTCTCTCCAACCCTTTCGAGGACGACCCCTACCTCACCTTCCTTCCCCTATAGATTTATATGCTTTCCATGTCATTCTACTTTGATCCATTCTCTCTAAATGACCAAACCACCTCAACAACCCCTCTTCTGCCCTCTGACTAATACTTTTATTAACTCCACACCTTTTCCTAATTTCCACACTCCGAATTTTCTGCATAATATTTACATCACACATTGCCCTTAGACAGGACATCTCCACTGCCTCCAACCGTCTCCTCGCTGCTGCATTTACCACCCAAGCTTCACACCCATATAAGAGTGTTGGTACTACTATACTTTCATACATTCCCTTTTTTGCCTCCATAGATAACGTTTTTTGACTCCACAATTACCTCAATGCACCACTCACCTTTTTTCCCTCATCAATTCTATGATTAACCTCATCCTTCATAAATCCATCCGCCGACACGGTAACTCCCAAGTATCTGAAAACATTCACTTCTTCCATACTCCTCCTCCCCAATTTGATATCCAATTTTTCTTTATCTAAATCATTTGATACCCTCATCACCTTACTCTTTTCTATGTTCACTTTCAACTTTCTACCTTTACACACATTCCCAAACTCATCCACTAACCTTTGAAATTTTTCTTTAGAATCTCCCATAAGCACAGTATCATTAGCAAAAAGTAACTGTGTTAATTCCCATTTTGAATTTGATTCCCCATAATTTAATCCCACCCCTCTCCCGAACACCCTAGCATTTACTTCTTTTACAACCCCATCTATAAATATATTAAACAACCATGGTGACATTACACATCCCTGTCTAAGACCTACTTTTACCGTGAAGTAGTCTCCCTCTCTTCTACACACCCTAACCTGAGCCTCACTATCCTCATAAAAACTCTTTACAGCATTTAGTAACTTACCACCTATTCCATATACTTGCAACATCTGCCACATTGCTCCCCTATCCACTCTATCATATGCCTTTTCTAAATCCATAAATGCAATAAAAACTTCCCTACTTTTATTTAAATACTGTTCACATATATGCTTCAATGTAAACACTTGATCTACACATCCCCTACCCACTCGGAAACCTCCTTGCTCATCCGCAATCCTACATTCTGTCTTACCTCTAATTCTTTCAATTATAACCCTACCATACACTTTTCCTGGTATACTCAATAAACTTATTCCTCTATAATTTTTACAATCTCTTTTGTCCCCTTTCCCTTTATATAAAGGGACTACACATGCTCTCCGCCAATCCCTAGGTACCTTCCCCTCTTTCATACATTTATTAAACAAAAGTACCAACCACTCCAACACTATATCCCCCCCCTGCTTTTAACATTTCTGTCATGATCCCATCAGTTCCAGCTGCTTTACCCCCTTTCATTCTACGTAATGCCTCGCGTACCTCCCTCACACTTACATTCTGCTCTTCTTCACTCCTAAAAGATGGTATACCTCCCTGACCAGTGCATGAAATTACTGCCTCCCTTTCTTCCTCAACATTTAAAAGTTCCTCAAAATATTCTCGCCATCTACCTAATACCTCCCTCTCCCCATCTACTAACTCCCCTACTCTGTTTTTAACTGACAAATCCATACTTTCCCTAGGCTTTCTTAACTTGTTTAACTCACTCCAAAATTTTTTCTTATTTTCATTAAAATTTCTTGACAGTGCCACTCCCACTCTATCATCTGCTCTCCTTTTGCACTCTCTCACCACTCTCTTCACCTTTCTTTTACTCTCCATATACTCTGCTTTTCTTATAACACTTCTGCTTTGTAAAAACCTCTCATAAGCTAACTTTTTCTCTTTTATCACACCCTTTACTTCATCATTCCACCAATCACTCCTCTTTCCACCTGCCCCACCCCTCCTATAACCACAAACTTCTCCCCCACATTCTAATACTGCATTTTAAAACTATTCCAACCCTCTTCAACCCCCCACTACTCATCTTTGCACTAGCCCACCTTTCTGCCAACAGTCGCTTATATCTCACCCGAACTTCCTCCTCCCTTAGTTTATACACTTTCACACTCCCTCTTACTTGTTGTTGCCACCTTCCTCTTTTCCCATCTACCTCTTACTCTAACTGTAGCTACAACTAAATAATGATCCGATATATCAGTTGTCCCTCTATAAACATGTACATCCTGGAGCCTACCCATCAACCTTTTATCCACCAATACTGTTAGGTAAGACACATATGCAACAGTTAGGTATCTTAAGATACCTAACTGTTGCATGTGTGTCTTACCTAACAATCTGTCGGTATTTGATACCATTTTAATGTTCATCCACCAATACTACAACAAACTACTTTCATTACGTGCTACATCATACCTTGTATATTTATTTATCCTCTTTTTCATAAAATATGTATTACTTATTACCAAATCTCTTTCTACACATAGCTCAATTAAAGACTCCCCATTTACATTTACCCCTGGCACCCCAAATTTACCTACTACTCCCTCCAAAACATTTTTACCCACTTTAGCATTGAAATCCACAACCACCAGAACTCTCACACTTGATTCAAAACTCCCCACGTATTCACTCAACATTTCCCAAAATCTCTCTCTCTCCTCTAAACTTCTTTCTTCTCCAGGTGCATACACGCTTACTATAACCCACTTTTCACATCCAATCTTTATTTTACTCCACATAATCCTTGAATTTATAAATTTATAGTCCCTCTTTTCCTGCCATAGCTTATCCTTCAATATTATTGCTACTCCTTCTTTAGCTCTAACTCTATTTGAAACCCCTGACCTAATCCCATTTATTCCTCTCCATTGAAACTCTCCCACCCCCTTCAGCTTCATTTCACTTAAAGCCAGGACATCCAGCTTCTTCTCATTCATAACATCCACAATCATCTCTTTCTTATCATTTGCACAACATCCATGCACATTCAGACTTCCCACTTTGATAATTTTCTTCTTATTATTCTTTTTAGTAATCTTTACAGGAAAAGGGGTTACTAGCCCATTGTTCCCGGCATTTTAGTTGACTTTTACAACACGCATGGCTTACGGAGGAAAGATTCTTGTTCCACTTTCCCATGGATATAAAAGGAAAAGTAATAAGACCAAGACCTATTAAGATAAAATCAAAGAAAACTCAGATGAGTGTGTATAAATAAACGTGTACATGTATGTGTAGTGTGACCTAAGTGTAAGTAGAAGTAGCAAGACATACCTGTAATCTTGCATATTTATGAGACAGACAAAAGACACCAGCAATCCTACCATCATGTAAAACAATTACAGGCTTTTGTTTTACATTCACTTGGCAGGACGGTAGTACCTCCCTGGGTGGTTGCTGTCTACCAACCATTATTATTATTATTATTATTTCATGGGGAGGAGGGCTAAACCCACAGAGGGTCATACATCGCCAGAAGAACAGGATGCAATCAGACTTGATCCACAGAACGAGAGGTCAGGTCCAATTCCTTGGACCTGATTGGTATTAAGGAATTTCCCTTGATGGAACACTCACCCCCAGCATCAGCATCTTCGTTGTTTGTTGCATGGCTGCGCTCTTTAGCAGCAGACTTTCCCCTTGATCGTGAGCTTTTTGCTCTGCTTGGTTCTTCTCTATTATTCTCTTTGTTAGACTTTCTTTTGTCTCTATCTTCCTCATTACGAGACTTGGCAGATGGTAGCCTGCCTTTCACATCCTGATCACTACTAGCTGCTTTCCGAGAGGCTGTGGATGCTGTTGAAAGTAATCAATAAGTAAAACTAGCATTATTCTCATGTGATTATATGTAATTACATATATTAATATGCTATTCTTAAAAGAATATAAAGGCACGATATAATGAGGGTGTGTAAAGGTAGAAAGTTGAAAGTGAACACAGATAAGAGTAATGTGATGAGGGTATCAAACGATTTAGATGGAGAAAAATTGGATATCACATTGGAGGGAGGGAGTATGGAAGAAGTGAATGTTTTCAGATATTTGGGATTGACTTGTCAGCAGATGGGTCTATGAAGGATGAGATTAACCACAGAACTGATGAAGGAAAATAGGCGAGTGGTGCGTTGAGGTATCTGTGGAGACAAAAAAAAAACGTTATCCATGGAGGGAAAGAAGGGAATGTACAAGAGTATAGTGGCACCAACACTCTTATATTGGTGCGAAGCTTGGGTTGTAAATGCTGCAGTGAGGAGGCACCTGGAGACAGCGAAGATGTCCTGTCTAAGGGCAATGTGTGGTGTAAGTATTATGCAAAGAATTCATAGTGTGGAAATTAGGAGGTGTGGAGTTACTAAAAGTATTAGTCAAAAGGCTGAAGAGGGATTGCTGAAGTGGTTTGGTCATTTAGAGAGAGTGGAACAAAGTCGAATGACTTGGAGAGCGTATAAATCTGTAGGGAAAGGAAAGCAGGGTCGGGGTAGTCCTTGAAAAGGTTGGAAGGAGGGGGTAAAGGAGGTTTTGTGGGCGAGGGGCTTGGACTTCCAGCAAGCATGCGTGAGCTTGTTAGATAGGAGTGAATGGAGACGAATGGTTTTTGGAACCTGACGAGCTGTTGGAGTGTGAGAAGGGTAATATTTTGTGAAGGGATTCAGGGAAATCGGCTAGCCGAACTTGAGTCCTGGGAATGGTAAGTACAATGCCTGCACTTTAAAGGAGGGATTTGGGATATTGGCAGTTTGGAGGGACATCTAAGCTGTTGCATCAGAACGCCTTCGCAAAGACTGTGATTATGTATGAGTTATGGTGAAAGTGTTGAATGATGATGAAAGTTTTTTCTTTCTTTTTGAGTTTTTCTTTCTTTCTGGGTCACCTGCCTTGGTGGGAAACAGTAATACCCCGGTTTTTGCTCTTAATCCGTTCCAGAAGGTTGGCTAAAATCCGAAATGGACGAAAACCGGAGTAATATTTCCCATAAGAAATAATGTAAATCCAATTAATCCGTTCCAGACACCCTAAAAAATATTAACAAAAAATACATTTTATAGAGAATAACTATAACTTTACATACAGAAAACACTGAGAAATAAATATAAACCACTAATTTTAATGGATAAATGAACATTTAAATCACTATTACATACCATTTTTGAAGACTCTTGTTGGAGTATGGAAGGTGGCAAGAGGGGAGAGAGAGAGGAGAGGTTATTGTTTGGAAGGGGAGTCCCCATCCATAAGGACTTGAGGTATCAAAGCCCTATCAAAAGCCCTATCAAAGCCCTCCACAACATTATCTCCCACTAACTGTTTTTCGTTGATCCACACCAACAACAACTCCATATCCTCGATTGTTTGTGATCTCTGTTTCGTTAGCGTATTTACCCTTTTTGCAACATCAGCTTCCTTGATTTCTGCTTTCTTCGCCAGGATGGAACTGATTGTTGATGTCAACTTCCCATACATCCTGGAGAGCTCGGCCACACGTATGCCACTTTCATATTTTGCAACAAGTTCTTTCTTTGACCCCACTGTGGCTCATTTCACTATCACAATCAATAAACAAGCACAAAAAACAATGGATGAACACACGAAGTATTGCTAATTCAACAAGAGACAGAGGTAGACTGAGTCTGGTCCGTGTGAGAAGCGGCATCCTGGGCGGGTGGATGCATCTGATACGGACAATTTCCAAGCAGATGTATGACACCCGGGGGAAATTTTGCCGAAAAAAGTGCTCAAAATCAGAATTGAACGATTTCCGCACTGGACGACTGTATACAGTGGTCCCTCGTTTTTCATAGTTAATCCGTTCCTGGAGCTGCTACTATTAACGAAATCTACGATTTGTGAATAAATTTTCCCCATAAGAAATAATGTAAATACAATTAATCTGTTCCTGACACCCAGAAGTATTAAAACAAAAAAAATTTTACATGAAATATACACATAGTACATAAACAATACAATGGGAAATGACGAATGAAACATTAACAGCGTAACACTTACCTTTATTGGAGATTCTTCTTAGTGTATGGGAGACTGGAGGAGGAGAGAGAGTGGATTGTTTATAGTTTGGAAGGGGAATCCCCTACCAGCAACACCTCAGGTACCAATTGCTTTTCTAGGGTTGTTTCTCTTCTCTGTTTCTTAATGCCACTAGGACCACCTTGAGAGTCACTTGAGTCCTGTCTCGCAAAATAACTGTGGAGAGAGCACTGTTTCTGGCGTCTCTTTAACACTTCCCTAAAATGGCCCAAGACTTTGTCACTGTACATGTTGCCAACCTGGCTTGCAACATCCTTGTCAGGGTGATGTTTCTCCATAAATCTTTCCATCTTACCCCACATAGCAAAAATCTCTCTAATTTCTGAAGAAGGCACCATCTTCCATCTCTCTTCCTCCTCCTCTGCAGCAAGATTCTGAGCTGCAATCTGTTGCTGTTCCTGCTGAAGCTCTTGCAGCTCCTCAGTGGTGAGCTCTTCGTTGTGGTCTTCCACCAATTCTTCCACATCCTCCAAACTCTCATCCAACCCCATGGAACTCCCCAGTGCCACAATTGATTTTACAACAGACATAGGCTCATCAGGGTCAGTCCCAAACCCTTCAAAATCCCTCTTGTCGACACAATCTGGCCACAATTTTCTCCAGGCAGAGTTCAAAGTCTGGTAGTCCTCCCTCCCAAGCCATACCTATAAGGGTTATGCAATGGAGGATGCTGAAGTGTTCTCTCCAAAATTCCCTTAGGATCAAGTGAGTGTCTGTGGTCACAGTCAAGCACCTGTGAAGCATTGCTTTGGTATAGTTTTTTTTAAAGTTTGCAATGACCTGCTGGTCCATGGGCTGGAGGAGAGGAGAGGTATTCAGGGGCAAGAACTTTACTGTGATGAACCCAAACTCCTTGAAAATTAGGTCATCCAAGTTTGGAGGATGAGCAAGTGCATTGTCCATTACTAACAGGCACTTGAGATCCAATTTCTTTTCCAGGAGGTAATTCTTCACACCACTCGACGAAAATTTCCCTCGTGACCCGTGCCTTACTATTAGATTTCCAAAACACACACAATTTACTTTTCATAACATTGTTTTTCCTGAACACTCTGGGATTTTCAGAATGGTACACTAGTAATGGCTTCACTTTGAAATCCCCACTAGCATTAGCACAGAACATTAGCATCAGCCTGTCTTTCATAGGCTTGTGTCCTGGCATTGCCTTTTCCTCCTGTGTAATGAAGGTCCTCTTTGGCATTTTCTTCCAAAAGAGGCCTGTTTCGTAACAATTGAACACTTGTTCAGGTTTCAGTCCTTCAGCCTCTATGTACTCCTGGAATTCATGCACATATTTTTCAGTCGCCTTGTGGCCCGAACTGGCAGCCTCACCATGCCTTACCACACTGTGTATGCCAGTACGGTTCTTAAATCTCTCAAACCAACCTTTGCTGGCCTTAAATTCACTCACATCACCACTATTTTCAGGCAATTTCTTTACCAGATCGTTGTGCAACTGCCTAGCCTTTTCACAAATAATCGAAGTCATAAGAGTATCTCCTGCTAATTGTTTCTCATTTATCCACACCAATAATAACTTCTCAACCTCTTCGAGTACTGGTGATCTCATTTTTGTCAGCATAGTTATTCCCTTTGCAACAACAGCGTCCTTGATTACCCTTTTCTTGGCCACTATGGATCATATGGTTGTGTAGGGTTTCTTATACATCCTGGCCAGTTCGGCCGCAGTTGTACCACTTTCATATTGTTCAATGATGTTTTTCTTAAATTCAATCGTATTTCTCACCTTCTTTACCACAGGCTTGGCACTAGGAGCTTTCTTTGGAGCCATGGTAGCTTACTTAGTACTTGCAAGCACTAAAATAAATGGAATATTATGAAATATTTCGCTGGAGCACGTGAGGGGACCTTCGCTCACTGGTAAACAATGCCAGACTGGCTGCCGCCCCAGCTTACGCCGCAGGTACGTGTCCCGGACGAACTACGACTCGCGAGTCAACCCATGAAAAGCGAGGCCATGTTTATACGAAAATACCCCTATGATTTCCGAAATCTATGATTGCCGTGAACTACGAAAAGCGAGGGACCACTGTATATATAATAACTTGGACAATGCACAAATAATCTGTACATAGTCTTGGATTTGTCTCATTACACTGTCAAATGCTCCAAACTTCAGAACACTCGTGACTTGACCTGATTGTTATCTTCACCCTTATCTCTTCTCCTTTCCTACATTTTCTTTCCCTTTCCTTTCTTCTGCTTAGGTGAGTTCTGTCCTATGAGACTGATCCCCTCAGTTTTTGTTCTATGCTCATGGACCATTAGTTCTCCTGCAGTGTTCCTTTTCCTTTTTTATCTTGTCCTTAGACTACCTCCACTACTACTACTACTCCTATTGCTTTGCTAACACTCCACTCTGACTAGTGTAACTACCACTACACCCTTCCTCCCTTCTCATTGCTACCTCTGCTACTGTTGCACTACTGATTATTACTACTACTAATACTACTACTACTGCCTCTACTACTACTTCTACCATTATATTACTACCTCCTCTCGTTCTACCCTGGCCCTGCCCCCCTCTAATATATATACCGATTCCCTTCCCTTCGCTCTTCTTTGTGATTATTTAATGGTCCAAGTTGGAGCAAAACATCAAAAGTTCATTCTCCTAAGTGCAGGTTATTTGCGTATTGCTATTTTTGCATAATAATAATGATACTTCACTGAATAATGAAATACAGTATATTGTAACTGACTTATTTATAGTAAATAATTAACAAGCACAAATGAGAAATATACAAGGCCACTTGAAAAATCACATGAATAAGTACATAAAGTAAATTTTAGTCATGTGATATACTTTATTGAACAAAATTATTTTATAATCCATTAAGCTTAAGTACTACAGTCTAAGTATTTAACTGTTCAATTTTCTATATGTAACTGTTCCACTTTCTGAAGATGGGAATGGATAAAAAAAACAAATACTTAAACATACAATACAGTGGACCCTTGGGTAAAGGCTTCATTGTTTAGCTGCAAAATTGGCTAACGGCTCACTTTGGTGTAAAAATATTGGTTTGGTTAATGCCAAATAACTCGGCTAAGGGCTTTCGTCCCGAACGTGTCCGCATGGCCTGAGCAGGCCCGGCCACTCACTCCGTGTACCAGCCAGTGTGCCATTGTTTACAATGTCAGTGAGGGCGATTCCACGCATACCTGTGATATATGTTGAATTATTCCAGTGTTTTCAGTGCTTGTAACTGCTAAATAAACCACCATGGGCCCCAAGAAAGCTTCTAGTGCCAACCCTGTGGTAAAAAGGGTGAGGTGTACTATTGAATTAATGAAAGACAAAATCGCAAAGTACGAGAGTGGAGTGCATAACTCGGAGTTAGAAAGGTTATATAACAAACCCCATTCAACCATCACTACTATCTTGGCCAACAAAAAGGCAATCAAAGAAGCTGTTGTTGTGAAAGGTGCAAGTATGCTTTCAAAACAGAGATCGCAAATACTTGAAGATGTGGAGAGACTGTTGTTGGCATGGATAAACGAGAAACAATTATCAGGAGATAGTGTTTCTCAGTCAATAATATGTGAAAAGGCAAAGCAGTTGCATGCAGATCTCATAGAGAAAATGCCTCCAAATAGTGCTGCTGCTGATGAATTTAAGGCCAGCAAAGGCTGGTTTGAGAGATTTAAGAATCATAGTGGCATACACAGTGTGATAAGGCATGGTGAGGCTGCCAGTTCTGACAAAAAAGCAGCTGAAAAATATGTGCAGGACTTTAAGGAGTACACAGACACTGAAAAATTAAAACTCCAATAAGTGTTTAATTGTGACAAAACAGGCCTATTTTGGAAAAAAATGCCAAACAGGACCTACATAACTCAGGAGGAAAAGGCACTCCCAGGACACAAGCCTATGAAAGAGAGGCTAACTCTAATGCTTTGTAGTAATGCTAGTGGGGATTGCAAAGTGAAGCCTTTACTAGTGTATCACTCTGAAACTCCCAGTGTGTTCAAGAAAAACGATGTCGTCCAGACTAAACTGTGTGTGATGTGGAGAGCAAACAGTAAGGCATGGGTCACTAGAGACATTTTTCTTGACTGGTTCTATGACGTGTTTGGCCCCACTGTGAAAAAGTACCTTCTGGAAAATAAATTGTCACTCAAGTACCTCCTGGTAATGGGCAACGCCCCTGCTCGTCCTCACGACTTGCAAAAGCAAATTGCGGGAGAGTTGAGCATTATCAAACTGAAGTTTTTCCTCCTAATACCACTCCTCTCCTCCAGCCTATGGACCAGCAGGTCATTTCAAACTTCAAAAAACTATACACCAAAGCAGTGTTTCAAAAGTGCTTTGAAGTGACCTCAGACACTGAACTGACCCTAAGAGAGTTCTGGAAAGATCACTTCAGTATCCTCAATTGCATAAACCTTATAGGTAAGGCTTGGGAGAGAGTGACCTGCAGGACTTTGAATTCTGCTTGGAGAAAATTGTGGCCAGAATGTATACAAGAGAGGGATTTTGAAGGGTTAGGGGCTAACCCTCAGGAGCCTATGCCAGTTGTGGAATCTATTGTGGCATTGGTTAAGTCCATGGGGTTGGAGGTTAGTGGCAAGGATGTGGAAGTGTTGGTGGAGGATGACGATGAAGAGCTAACCACTACAGAGCTGCAAGAGCTTCAGGTGCAACAGCAACAGACCACAGCTCAGGAATGTGCTTCAGAGGAGGAGGAAGAGAGATGGAGGAAGTTGCCTTCATCAAAGATTAAGGAAATGTGTACAATATGGACAAAGCTGCAGGCATTTATGGAAGATTATCCTGACACAGCTGTTTCAAACTGTATTGGCAACACATACAATGACACTCTTGTGTCCCATTTTAGGGAAATCTTAAAGGGATGCGAGAAACAGAGTTCTCTGGACAAATATTTTGTGCGACAGAGGTCCAGTGACTCTCAAGTTGTTCCCAGTGGCATTAAAAAACCAAGAAGGGAGGTAACCCCAGAAAAGGACTTGTTACCTGAAGTCTTCATGGAAGGGGATTCCCCTTCCAAACACTAGTACCCCTTCATCCTCTCCCCTCCTCCTGTCTCATCACTCATCAACAAGTCCACAATAAAGGTAAGTGTCATTTCAGTACTGTTTATTGTGTATGTATCATTGTTTTCTGTGTAGGGAAATGTATATTTCATGTAATTTTTTTTTTTTTTTTTTATTACACTGGCCGATTCCCACCAAGGCAGGGTGGCCCGAAAAAGAAAAACTTTCACCATCATTCACTCCATCACTGTCTTGCCAGAAGGGTGCTTTACACTACAGTTTTTGGGTGTCTGGAACGGATTAATTGGATTTCCATTATTTCTTATGGGGAAAATTAAGTTGGCTAAAGGCTAAATCGGCTAAAGGCTAGCTCTCTGGAATGGATTAAAGGCATTACCCGAGGGTCTGCTGTACATGTAAAATGATACAAGGAAATAGATAAATAAGACTTTCTTTGCATGATAAAATGGGAGAACAAGTGGCCACAATTGTAAATTGAAATCCAAGTCTTTCATCACAGACTGGAAAAACACTGGAATGGGATCCTGAAGGAAGTACATTAGTGTTAAATATTGATATACTAAAGAAAGGGCAAGTAAACCACATAACGGGTGAGGTTTGAACCCATGGCAAGTGAGAACTTAAACTCCAGGCCAGTGTTTAAGCCACTCAGCCAGTGGCTTACACACTGGCCTGGAGTTTTAGTTCTCACTTGCTATAAGTTCAAAGCCCATCCATTCCATGGTTTGTCTGCAATCGTATTATTACAATTTCGTGAGTCATAAAAAAAAGGTGAGTAAATAACAAGATACAGATACTTACTAATTGTAGGATTTACTAAACTCATTAATTCATTCTGCATCAAATCTTTCACAGTAGCATTTTATCACAAGCAGACTTTAATAACATACCTCTCTGGCTTCTGGAGTTAATTGACTTCTCACTTCCTCTTTCCCTACTAGCCAAGGCCTTACTTGACTGCTTGTCTCCATGATCACTTCCTGGTTTAGTTCCTCTGCCTTGATTGGATGACTCTCTGCCTCCTCTGGCAGGTTTAGTGGAGGATTTCTCTGGCTTATTTTCTACTCTCCTTGGTTCCCTCTGTCCTTTGCCTTTATCATCTCTGCTTGAGCTTGTGTTCTCAGTCCTTCAAGAAATGTAGTATAATAAACATCTGCATAATAATAATAATAATGATCATATAAAAAGATTACTTGCTGATATTATTACTGTATTATGTATGAAAATATTAGTCTTCATTCTTTTAATATCTGCATACAAATTTTTTTTTTGAAAAAACTGAAGCTACCTGGCCTACAAGAGCTTTAAAAATATTTGTGTAAATATCTATTATGTAACCTAGGTAGTAGGTTGGTAGACAGCAACTGCCCAGGGAGGTACCACCATCCTGCCAAGTGAGTGTAAACTGACAGCCTGTAAATGTTTTACATCAGGGGTTGGCAACCTTTTGGAGAGAGGGGGGCCAGACAGCTATGCAGTCTCTCGGAGGAGGGCCATGTAATTAAATGTAATATATAAAATTTTTTCTCTAACTCAGACCGCTCTGTCCAGAAAGCTGCCTTGGTATGGAGGTTTAAAGAAAAAAAAAAAGAATTTAATGTCATTTTATTTAAACAAGGTTCCTTATTGTACTGCATCAATAACTAAAAAAAATACTAATACCATTAACAAAAAATGCAAATTCCTTACTACAAATGAAATACAGTTAGAAATGGCAAATTATTTAAGGACACTTGTTCTACGGTTATGTTCTCAACAACCAAAGAAAAACTCTAAGGAACTAATAACTTCTCCAGGACATTCTTATAAACCTGAAGTGAACTTCAGCATCTGTATTTCGATACTATAAGAAATAGGCCCCAGGTGTTAAGTGTTGGCCAGACGAAACATCCATGCGAACCAGGTCGACCTGTTTACAATGATGAGGATGCTTACTTTTTTGTCTCATAAAACATGGAAGATTTCCAGGTACAAATTTATTTATACAGAGACCTGGTTTCCTTCTATTTTCTATGTTAATTCTTGTTTCTAGTTTATTTCCTCGACTCCATGGGCAGTGAACAAATTCTCTCTGTAAGCACGCATTCGAAGAGGTGACTAAAATCCGGGATGCAAAGGAGCTAGCAACCTCTTCTCTACATACTAAGTGTAAAGGTAGAGAAACTTTGTTATTTTTTTGGGCCACCCTGCTCCAGGGGATATGGCCGTCTGTTTGAAGACGATAGATCTGTATGGTAATATTGATTGTAATTTTGATTAAGTATGAAAAAGATAATTAGATTACAACATTTATAGCTGGTACTATGAAAAAGGTACCTGTGGAGGATTGGGTTGTCTTACGAAGGATTAAGATGTAGACACAGAGGTTTTTGAGTGCTAGGGGCTTGGATTTCAACAGGTTTGTGAAAGCATTGATAGAAGTGGAGGCAATGGTTGTTTATGATTGACAGATGTTGGTAGAATATTAAGGTAACCTTTATCAGTAAATTTATGAAGGGAACAGGAAAACATTAGCTGGGCTTAACATACATACATACGGCACACACGCACATGTGATTGTATGTGAAAAAAAAAATATATATATATATGCCGGAACATGGGATCTGTACCCTTTTCCTGTACAAGATTACTAAAAAGAATAAGAAGAAGAAAATTGTCAAAGTGGGAAGTCGAATTTCTGGATGTTGTGCAAATGTAAGAAAGAGATGATTGTGGATTATGAATGAGAAGAACTGATGTCCTGGCTTAATGAAACTCAGCTGAGGGGGTGGAGAGTTTTCATGGAAGAGGATAAATGGATTAGTAGGGGTTTCAAATAGAGTTAAGCTAAGAGAAGGAGTAGCAATAATGTTGAAGGATATCTAAATGGCAGAAAAGAGGACTATAAATTGTATTAATTCAAGGATTATGTGGAGTATAAATAAAGATTGATGTGAAAGTGGGTTAAAAGCGGTATGCACTGAGAAAAAGAATGTAGAGGAAAGAGAGAGATTTTGGAATGTTGAGTGAATGCGTGGGGAGTTTTGAATCAAGTGTGAAAGTAATGGTGGTTGGGATTTTCAATGCAAAAGGTAAAATGTATGGAGGGGTAGTAGGTAATTTGGTTGGGGTGCCAGATAAATGTAAACGGGAGTCTTTAATTGAGCTATGTGTGAGAAAGAGATTTGTAATAAACATATTTTATAAAAGAGGATAACAAATATACAAGGTAAAGTAGCACGTAAGAAAGTAGTTTGTAGATTAAGTATTGGGAGATAAAAGGTGCATGGTAGCTCAGATTACATTTATAATGGGGGCAACGATATATCGGGATCATTTTTAGTTGTAGCTACATTAGAGTACAGAGTAGATGGGAAATGAGAAGTGGCAACAACAAGTAAAGGGAGTGAAGTGTATAAACTAAGGAGGAGGAAGTTCGGGGAGATATAAGCGACTGTTGCGAAAGGATGGGCTATTAAAAGAACAAAGATGAGTAGTGGGGGGGTTGAAGAGGGTGGATAGTTTAACAAATGCAGTATAGAATGTGGAGCAGAAGTTTGTGGTTATAGGAGGGTGAGGCAGTGGAAAGAGGAGGATTGGTGAATGCTGAAGTAAAGTGTGTGATAAAAGAGAAAAGAGTAGCTATGAGAGTTTTTACAAGGCAGAAGTGTTATAAAAGAGCACAGTATTGGAGGTAAAAGAAGGTGAGAGAGTGGTGAGAGAGTGCAAAAGGAGAGCAGATGATAGAGTGAAGAGGACTTCAAGAAATTTTAATGAAAATAAGAAAAATTTTGGGAGTTAAACAAGTTAAGAAAGCCAGGGAAAGTATGGATTTGTCATTAAAAACAGAGTAGGGGAGTTAGTGATGGGAGAGGAGGTATAGGTAGATGGGAGAATATTTTGAGGAACTTTTAAATGTTGGAGAAGGGAGATGTAATTTCATGCATGTCAGGAGGTATAATCTTTTAGGAGTGAAGGAGAGCAGAATGTAATGTGGTGAGGTACGTGGAGGCATTACTAGAATGAAAGGGGTAAAGCAGCTGGAACTGATGGGATCATGCAGAAATGTTAAATCAGGGGGGGATAAGTGTTGGAGTGGTTGGTACTTTTGTTTAATAAATGTATGAAAGAGGGGAAGGTACCTAGGGATTGGCGGAGAGCATGTACAGTCCCTTTATATAAAGGGAAAGGGGACAAAAGAGATTGTAAAAATTATAGAGGAATAAGTTTATTGAGTATACCAGGAAAGTGTATGGAAGGGTTATAATTGAAAGAATTAGAGGCAAGACAGAATGTAGGATTGCAGATGAGCAAGGAGGTTTCAGAGTGGGTAGGGGATGTGTAGATCAAGTGTTTACATTGAAGCATATATGTGAACTGTATTTAGATAAAGGCAGGGAAGTTTTTATTGCATTTATGGATTTAGAAAAGGCATATGATAGAGTGGTAGGGGAGCAATGTGGCAGATGTTGCAAGTATATGGAATAGGTGGTAAGTTACTAAATGCTGTAAAGAGTTTTTATGAGGATAGTGAGGCTCAGGTTAGGGTGTGTAGAAGAGAGGGAGACTACTTCCCGGTTTAAAAATAGGTCTTAGACAGGGATGTGTAATGTCACCATGGTTGTTTAATATATTTATAGATGGGGTTGTAAAAGAAGTAAATGCTAGGGTGTTCGGGAGAGGGGTGGGATTAAATTATGGGGAATCAAATTCAAAATGGGAATTAACACAGTTACTTTTTGCTGATGATACTGTGCTTATGGGAGATTCTAAAGAAAAATTGCAAAGGTTAGTGGATGAGTTTGGGAATGTGTGTAAAGGTAGAAAGTTGAAAGTGAACTTAGAAAAGAGTAAGGTGATGAGGGTATCAAATGATTTAGATAAAGAAAAATTGGATATCAAATTGGGGAGGAGGAGTATGGAAGAAGTTTAATGTTTTCAGATACTTGGGAGTTGACGGGGTTGGCGGATGGATTTATGAAGGATGAGGTTAATCATAGAATTGATGAGGGAAAAAAGGTGAGTGGTGCATTGAGGTATATGTGGAGTCAAAAAATGTTATCTATGGAGGCAAAGAAGGGAATGTATGAAAGTATAGTAGTACCAACACTCTTATATGGGTGTGAAGCTTGGGTGGTAAATGCAGCAGCGAGGAGACGGTTGGAGGCAGTGGAGATGTCCTGTCTAAGGGCAATGTGTGGTGTAAATATTATGCAGAAAATTCGGAGTGTGGAAATTAGGAAAAGGTGTGGAGTTAATAAAAGTATTAGTCATTTAGAGAGAATGGATCAAAGTAGAATGACATGGAAAGCATATAAATCTATAGGGGAAGGAAGGTGAGGTAGGGGTCCTCCTTGAAAGGGTTGGAGAGAGGGGGTTTAAAAGGGGGTTTTGTGGGCAAGGGGCTTGGACTTCCAGCAAGCGTGCGTGAGCGTGTTAGATAGGAGTGAATGGAGACGAATGGTACTTGGGACCTGACGATCTGTTGGAGTGTGAGCAGGGTAATATTTAGTGAAGGGATTCAGGGAAACCGGTTATTTTCATATAGTCGGACTTGAGTCCTGGAAATGGGAAGTACAATGCCTGCACTTTAAAGGAGGGGTTGGGGGGATATTGGCAGTTTGGAGGGATATGTTGTGTATCTTTATACGTATATGCTTCTAAACTGTTGTATTCTGAGCACCTCTGCAAAAACAGTGATTATGTGCGAGTGTGGTGAAAGTGTTGAATGATGATGAAAGCATTTTCTTTTTGGGGATTTTCTTTCTTTTTTGGGTCACCCTGCCTCGGTGGGAGACGGCCGACTTGTTGAAAAAAAAAAAAAATATATATATATATCCTAGGTAGTAGGTTGGTGGACAGCAACCGCCCAGGGAGGTACTACTGTCCTGCCAAGTGAGTGTAAAACGAAAGCTTGTAATTGTTTTACATGATGGTAGGATTGCTGGAGTCCATTTTTCTCTCATAAACATGCAAGGTTTCAGGTACATCTTGCTACTTCTACTTACACTTAGGTCACACTACACATACATGTACAAGCATATATATACACACACCCCTCTGGGTTTTCTTCTATTTTCTTTCTAGTTCTTGTTCTTGTTTATTTCCTCTTACCTCCAAGGGAAAGTGGAACAGAATTCTTCTCCG